ACGGCCCGGTGGGGGCAAGGAAGGTGTCCGGATGGGGCCAGTGGGAGGCAGGCCCGGGCGGGTGCTGCCCACCTGAGTGAGCTGAGGAGAGTGCCACGGGCACGGGAGATGGCGACCCAGAGGTGTGTGGCCACAAGGGGGTTCCTGTGAGCCTGCAGCCATGAGCATGACCACCCAGGGCAGCCCCCAAAGGAGCAACAGTGCTCTGCCTTCCCAGAGCCCGCTGGTGCTGTGCCCCACTACCCATCGAGGGCAGTGACTCAGGCCAACAGACAGCAGCATAAGACCACAGGGACACCAGGGGCCGGAGCGACAGTACAGTAGGGATGATGTTGCCACACTCAGCCAGCCCAGTCTTGATCCCTGAGCACAGAGCCAGGAGTCATCCCTGAGAAGAGCTGGGAATGAATCCTGAGCACAGAGCCAGGAGTGAGCCCCGAGCACAGAGTCAGGAGTGAGCCCTGAGCACAGAGGCAGGAGTCAGCCCTGAGCCCCGCCAGTATGGTCAAAAAAGCCCCCAAGCCCCAGGGGACACAAGCAGCGGCAGACATGTGGGCTCAGGCCCCACACACCTCGGAGAGCCGTGGGCAGTGGCCTCGGCAGCTCAGCCATCACTGCACCAAGTGGCCCAATGGTCACCTTAGCCGCCGGCAGCCAGCCAGGCTCACCAGCACTTTGGGCTGGGCAAGTGCCACGCGGTGAGCAGCGAGTGGCCAGGGAGAAGCTGGACGGGGGCACACGGCCACGGCAGCAAACCCACAGCTCTGCACAGCTGGGGATGAGCATCCACACAGGAACACGGAGGGGCTGGAGCCAATCACCGACCCCTGGCACATGCAGGACGTGGGCAGGACGCGGGGCGGCATGAGCCCCAGGACCTAGGTGGACAGCGGCACTTCTGGGGACTCCCGAGGGGCAGAGAGGTGACGGAGAGTGAGGCTGGCCCGCCGAGCAGCCCTGGCCGGAGAGGCCCACGCCAGGACAGACACACGCGCAGGCTTAGCTCTTTATTGTTCCTTCCCCGCGGACAGCGCGGGGAGGCCTGGCTGCTCCCCGAGTGCCCCAGCGCCGGGTGGCCGGGTGCGGCAGCGGGTGGGGACGCGCAGGCCCTAGAGCGGGTCACTTGCGGGCGAGCTCCAGCACCTTCCGCACCATGGCGCCGATGCCGTCGTGGATGTGGTGCAGCGCCGTCTCGCACATGAAGGCCGGCGTGGTCACCACCTTGTTCTTCTGGTCCACGTGGGCTTCGTGTGTGTGTTAAGGAAGCAACTGACCAGATGTCGGCTGTGCCTGTGCCCGGGACATGAGTCACCGCACCCTCTGCTCCGCTCGGGGCCACCTCACGGTCCCACGTGGCCGCGGACACCCAGCCCCAACCTGACAGGAACCGTGCACACACCCACAAGCCCCCAGCTGTCCCCGCCCTGGTCACTGCCCAGGCCCCGCCCTAGGCCCCGTCACTGCACAGGCCCTGCCCTGCCCCTGCTCGTCACTGCACAAGCCCACACTGCCCACAAGGATATGGTCACCTCCTTCACACAGTGCTTGGCGCCCAGCGCTTTGATGGCCTCTGCAGTGCCAGCATATGGCCACTTGCCCCCTTCTTCCTGCTCGTGGCCCACGGTGACCTCCACGGCACCCAGCACCTTGGCGGCGAGGACAGGCGCAATGCAGCAAAGACTGGGGGCGGGGCGGGGGGGGTCAGGCTGGGCAGCAGCTGCCCCGGGCCTCGCCTGACTACGGGTCACAGGGCTGGACGCGCAGGCCATGGCACCCCGCGGCCTCAGGGCCGAGCCCCGGGTGAGGGCCCGGGTGCTGGCGCAGAGGGGGGTGTGAACAGCTTCCCTCCAAGAGGGTGGGGGCGCAGGAGGAAGGCAGGAGGTGGTTCTGGTGCCCCCCAGCCCTGGCCTCCCTACCCGATGGGCTTGCCGGCCTTGTGGAAGTCCCTGAGAACGCGCTCCACATCCCTGTGCACGGTGCAGTCCTTCCCGTCCACAGCGAAGCTGCTCCTGTGGGAGACGTGGTCGGCTACGGGTCAGCCCCAGCAAGCGTGTCCAGAAGCAGGCGACAGCAGGGCAGGTCCCGCAGGGGATAGGTTTGCTGCAGCTGTCGCGCTCTGAATACATGCACGACCACCCAGTCTCCCAAGGTGACTGGCCAGAAGTCCTGGGACCACCCATGCTGGTCAGCCAGCGCCAGGACTGGCAGCCACAAGGCACCATGGAACAGCCGCACAGCCCCGAGCAGGGGGCTCTTCTGCACGCCCACTACTGCAGGGACACGGAGGGAGGGAACGGGGGGGGGGGGGGGGGAGGACAGGAAGGGAGGTGGGGGTCACGGCTGTCAGTGCTCGGGGGTCCACCCATATGTCCCGGACTCCCCAGGGTCGGTGGGGTGCAGGTGGGTGCTGGGGATCAGACAGCTGAAGCAGAGGGAGGGGCCTGGGGTGAGGCCAGCTGGGCTGGGGAGCTGGTGCTCTCATCGAGGGGAGAACATGGCTGCTGGGGGCACTGGGTGAGGTGTGCTGGGCTGAGAGGGGGGGGCTACAGGCAGCCGGGCTGGGCAGAGCAGGCGCCCACCTCCCAGGTGACCGCCAGGACCCGGGCAGGCTGTCCCCACACAACTGTGCTCGAGCCCCAGAGTGCCCCAAGTGGACAGCTGGGTAACTGCAGTGAGAAAGGAGCTTGGGAGAGGACCCAAAACCAGCGCTGGCCCAGGCAGCAAGCCCAAAGCCCCAGCGAGCCGCTACGCCCCCCTGCGGCTGGTGCGGGACTCACAGGTTCTTGGCGGCGCCGAAGCCCCCAGGGAAGATGACGGCGTCCAGGTTGGCTGCATTGAGCTGCGCCAGGTCGCTGATCTTGCCACGGGCGATGCGCGCCGACTCCGTCAGGACGTTCCTGGGAGAGGGGGACCCCTAGATGGTGAGTGTCCCTGGAGGAGCCCCAGGACAGGGCAGGGTCTCACACAAGTGTGCAGCACCCCAGATGCCTGGAGAAGCACAGGCACCCGGCCGGGCATGGGGCCAGGACCTGGAGGTGGGGCGGAGGGTCCAGGTGTCTCTGCCCTCCCGCCCGGGCTGGGCTGGGGGGCCCCCGAGTGTCCAGGCACACCGTGTAGTAGTTCGGGAACCCCCACCCCACACCTGTTCTCCTTCTCCGCAGGCTGGCCCTGTGTGTGGTCAATCACGTGCATTTGAGGGACGCTGGGGGCGAAGATGTGCACGTCGGCGCCCGCCCGGCTCAGGTGCACCAGGACCCTGCAGAGACACAGCCAGCTCACCCCTGCCCCTCACCTGCTCCCCGGACCCTGCCCCACCCCCCAACGCTGCCCCTCATCCCTGACACTGCCCCGACACCCCCCCCTCACCTCGTCTGAGTGATCTGAGAGCAGGGCTGTCTGAGCAGTGCAGGAAGGGGGTGAGGGTGGGGGGCCTTAGTGTAGCCACTACACCCCCTACTGTCACTCAGGGGGCTAGGGCAGGGCAGGTGATGGCCCAGGGTGGACAGGCCAGGGCAGTTCACAGCAGAGCACCCATAAGCTGCCTCCCAGGGACCCCTCTGGGGAGCTGGGAGGCAGCGAGGGGGTCCCTCGAGTACCGCCCGGCCCACAACTTGCAGTCCGGCTCTGGGCGACTCGGGGGTAAGGGAATGAGCGGTGACAACGGGGGCGCTGGGCTGCCTGCTTGGTGACGCTGCACCCACGCCAGGGTCTCAGGCCCTTCGGGTCTCCCTGCCAAGGCACACGGGGGACCCGGGGCTTACGCGGAGGCCTCGTGGATCTCCGTCCCGTCGTACACGCCACAGCCGGACAGCACCTGGGGGACCGGGCAGTCAGGGGCCAGGCGGCCGGGGCACCGGAGCTGGGAGACCCGGGGACGCCAAGGCGGACGGAGGGATGGGGGACCAGGGCCAGGGGGACCTGGGGACGCCGAACCTTGCGGGGTCCGGGGGCGGGGACGCCGAGCCGTGTAGGCCCACGTGACCGGGGTCACCAGGGGTCGCGGGGCCGGCGGGGTCTGCATGACCGGGCCAGGGTCACCCGGGGCCCCCAGACCGGCCCCGCGCGCACTCACCAGCCCGACCCTGGGCCCGGCGCGCGGCGCGGACATGTGAAGGGCAGCACGCGGGGTGGACGCCCACCCGCAGGGGTACGGCGCGAAGGCGGCGCTCGCCGCCAGCCTGGAAGCCACCAGGGCCCTGAGAGTCGCCATCGCCGCGCGGGGGACAGCGGGGTCGCAGGGTCACGCGGGGACCCGGCCCGGCTCCAAACACTGCCCGCCCGCGCCTGCGCACTGCCGCGCTTCCGGGATCTTACAGGTGGGCGGGACCGCGCCCGCGCAGTTGGCGTCCTGTGTCGCTCATCCGCCCGCCCGGGTGCCCCGCAGCCCGGCTCCGTCTGTCCTGTCCGCATTCAGTTGTGCCCGCCGCGGGGCTCCGAAACACCCCCACCCCCACCCGCCCCGAGCAGGGCCGGGTGATCCCCAGTCTCCGCCCTGCAGGCTGCCCCTCTGAGGTCCCCACCGTCGCCACAAAGACACTGTAGGTTTATTTTTTCCTTTTTCTTTTGGGTCACACCCAGCCATGTACAGGGGTTCCTCCTGGCTCTGCACTCAGGAACCACTCCTGGCGGTGTTCGGGGGACCCTATGGGGGTGCCGGGAGTCGAACCGGGGTCAGGCAAACGCCCTCCCCACTGTGCTCCAGCCCCCACACTGTAGGCTTTTGAGGATCAGTTGAGTTCCAGCCTCCTCTACCCTCCAGAAACCCCCGTTCGTGTCCCTTGTCCAGTCCCTCCTTCTCCACCATACTGAGAACATGGCCAGTTCTTCGGGGAGGACCGGGTGTTCCAGGCCCTGCCACGTGCTTGGGCAGCAGGCTGGACAGGCCATCACGGGTGCCAGGGCCAACCCCTGCTTCCTGCAGCTGCGTGGTCCCCCCAGGACACCGAGGCCGCGGCCAGCTCCTCCGGACTGTTGGCCCGCAGCCCCGCGCTCCGCCGCCAACGCCCTCTGGGGCCCTATGCCAGCAGGCCATTCCCTAGGTCCCCGTCTGCTGTCCGAAGGAGGCACAGGCTGTCCTCGTCCTCCTCGGCGTCCTCCTCACTGTCCAGCGGCTCAGATGGGCGCTTCAGGCCACGCTGCTGTGACAGTGCCAGTGCATAGCGGATGTTGTAACGGTTCCAATCACAGCTGTGGAAGGCGGCAGTCACGGAGGTAAGAGCAAAGTTGGGCCCTACCACGGTAGCCCACACGCCCACCACCCCAGTCCCCTAAAAAATCTGTGCCTTTGTACTGCCCCAAGGGTTCAACTGAACACCCGAGCCCACCCTCCAGCCCCCCTCCCCAGGCCAGCCACAGCCCTGGCCATGGGGGCACAGGCTGGATCCTGGGTGGCCTGGCCACGCCCCCTTCAGGGGCCTGGAGGGGGGCGGGGTTCCCGGGGCACAGGGACAGCTGGTCAGGGCAGCCCCTTCCCAGTTCCTCCCAGACGTGGTCCTAGTCACAGCACAGGCAGGTGGGGCCACAAGCCCACCACTAGCCGCCGCCTGGAAAGAGGAACACCCCTGAGTCCCTGGCCAGCACAGGGTCAGCTCCCACAGCTGCCCTGAGCATCCCTGACCCCACAGCGCACATACAGTTTGGAGACGCTGTCCAGGTGCCGCTGGAGGCTCTTCTGCAGGAACTGGATGGTGGGCAGCAGCGTCCCTGCCCTGCAAACACAGGCCTCCTTAGTGAGGGCCACTCTCGGGGGCCCAGACCCCCTCCCAGATGCAGGGGCGCGGGGCTGACCTGGCCTTGAGCTTCTGTCCGTGCAGCATGAGCAGCTTCTGAGCCCACAAGAGGTAGAATTCCAGGTGGCGAGACACCTCCAGGGCGGGAGCCAGGAAGCCCAGAACCTTCTCCACGTACAGGTCAGGCAGGGAGGAAGCAACCACCTCGACTGAGGGGAGAGCATGGTGAGGGGCTGCTGGCCCCGGCAGGCCCACCCCCCAGGCCAGCCGTCCGCCAGGTGGTACGCACTCTCGCCCCAGGGCACGGCCTCCAGGGCCTCCTGCACCAGTGGCCGCTCGCCCAGCCGCAGTGCCATGAGCAGGGCCCTGGTGAAATCACGCTGGCGCAGGGCTGTCCGCACCCGGGCGGGGGTGACGCTGGTGTCCAGCTGGTAGGGGTCGAAGAGCAGCTGCGTGTCCAGGGAGTAGATGAGGAGGCCCTCGGTGGTGGTGGCTGCCCAGCAGTGCCCTGGGGAAGCAGAGGGGACACCAGCAGCTGTGAACTCGGCGTAGCACCCGGACACGTGTCCCCGAGGGCCCCAGACCCTGACATCCTTCTTGGGAACAAGGGTTCCCCAGCTGTTGGAGCCCCCACGAAGGACAGAGGCATCAGCTCACACACAGGAGCATTGGGCCAGAACAGGGGCGACTCTCATGACCCACCCAGTCCCCCAGGCAGAGCGGCACCCCATCCCATCCCCCCCCCGGCTCACCAGTTGGGGAGAAGCGGAGCGAGGTGACCCTGATCTCAGGCTTGAAGTGCCGGGAGCTCATGTCCCCTAGAAGACACGGGCTGCTCAGGGGCTGCCCTCCCAGCCTCTCCCTCCCCGCACCTGCCCAGGGCTGCTCTGAGCACAGCACTGCCGAGTGAAGCTTCTGGAAACCAAGCTCAAACTCACGGGGTAGGGTGGGGGGGACGAACCCTCCCCTCCACCACAGGTGACCCCCACGCCCCTCCCCAGCACTCTACTGGGAGGACATGGCCTTGGAGGACCAATGCCTGGGCCTGTCCCTGGGGATGCAGCTGACCTCAGTCACACCCCCTGCCATGCCCTGCCACATGCTCGGCGAGTGGGCACAGGGGGTCTGGGGGTGTCTGTGTCCCTTTGCCCACCCCCAGGCCAGTCTCTGCCTACTCCTGTGTGTGCGTGGACCGTCTCAGGTGGGGCCCCTCCCCTGCACCTTTCTTCACCCCTGGCAGGGGAATGGCCACGCCCTCGTCCGCCCCGGCGTCCTGGTCGATGAGCGCCAAGTTGCCAAACTCCGTCATCTTCCTCCGGTTCAGGAACTCCTGGGAGCAGTCACCAGAGTGAAGGACCCAGAGGATGGACATCGGCCCCTGTGGCACCCAGACCTGGCAGGGGGGCAGACCCCCGGGCTCACCTCCATGGCGTCCAGGGAGAGGTTTTGGGACACCTCGAACTTCTTCATGAGGATCTGCTCTCGGATGTGGTAAATGCATACGAACTTGGACATGCCGCCCGCCAGCACATACTGGCCGTCCGCAGAGTAGCAGAGGGTGGTGAAGGCCCTGCGTGACCAGCAGGTCCCTCAGCATGCAGCCAGGAGGGCGGCAGAGGGGACAGGCCCCCAGCAGGGGTGGGCATGGGACTGGGAGTCCGGCGGGCGGCACTCACTTCCCCTTGGCAGCGTGCTTGGCCGTGATCTTGTCCAGCTCCTTCCTGCCGGGCCGCAGGTCGTGCCGGCCCTCAATGGAGCCCGTCTGGGTGGCGCCCTCGGGGTCCCAGAAGGTGATCTGCGAGTTCAGGGTGGCCACAGCCAGCTCGGCACCGTCAGGGCGGTAGGTCACGGCCAGCGCGTCCGAGGTCAGTGCCAGCGTCTCAGTGGTCCGCCAGCTGTCGGCCATGTCCCACAGGCGCACCGTGCGGTCCCACGAGGAGCTGGCCAGGACCGACCTGGCGGGGCTAAAGCAGAGCCCGCTGATGGGGCCCTCGTGGCCCGAGAGAACCTGCAGGCGGTGGGCAGAGGGTGAGAGCGAACCCCGGGCCGGGAATAGGCCCAGACCCACCAAGCCCCCGTGCTCACATCCAGGAGCCTGCCCGTCTGCATGGACCAGATGAAGATCTCAAAGGAGTCCTGGGCGCCGGCGGCCACGATCTCCCCACTCGAGTCCACGGCCACGCAAGAAAACTGGGTGGGCCGTGGGGACGTGAAGGTGCGGAAGTTCCGGTACCTGCGAGGCAGGGGCGCCGCCAGCTCAGGCCTCTGACTCCCCCGTCTTTCCCCACCCGCTGCAGGTGCCATGCTCCTCAAGCTCACCTGTGGAGGTCAAAGGCACGCACAGTCCCGTCCATGGACGAGGTGACCACTACGTGGCCGGTGGCTGTGAAGGTCACCCCAGTGACGCTGCTCGTGTGCTCCGTGAATGTGACAAAGCAGAAGCCGCTGAGGGTGTTCCAGACCTTCACCTGTGTGGGGAAGGCGGTGGTGGGGTCCCAGGGCAGAGCCCCCGACTCCACCTGAGTGCCAAGGTCGGGGCACCAGCCAGTTACTCAGGGGGGCCCTGGGCCAGAGTAAGGAAGCACCCAATCCCGCAGGGCCACATGCCTGCCACCAGCTCTGGGGAAGCTGTGGGCTAGACTGTCACTCAGAGCACAGGGCCATGCACAGGGCCGAGCCCACACACGCCCCGGCCACCACACACACACACACACACACACACACACACACACACACACACACACGAGGCCCTGCCTTAATATTAACACATACCTGCCCCAGCCACGACACGCACACGCACCCCCAGCTACCACGCAGGCACACTGCGGCCCCCCCGTCCCACCTTGCCGTCATCACCGCCGGTGACCAGGTACTGGCCGTCAGGGGAATAGGCCAGCGCCACCATGCTGTCGAAGTGGCCCTGCTGCTTGAGCACGTAGGACTCGCTCTGCCACTCCCACACCAGCAGCTGGCCCAGGCCTGCGGGAGTACCACGCTGGGAGCACCGCGCCTGGAGCCTCCCTGCCCACTCACCCACACGAGCGGGCGCAGAGGCTGCCCAGGAAGCTGCCCCTGAAACACCCCCGCCCACCTGGTACCGGACAAACCTGAGCACCCGAAGGCCACCCAGTCCCCGGAGCTGTTGATGGCCACTGAGGTGATCCTCTGATCCGAGATGCTGTGGGCGGGGACAGGGCGAGCCATGGGTGTCTGAGGAGTGGGCAGGGCGATGCCCCAACTCATGCACACACCCCCCACACCTTTGTGCACACCTGTGACATGCACCCCCACACACCTATGTGCACACATGACACACACCCACACAAGTGCACTGTGACACACACATCCATACCCACCTTATGTGCATACATGACACGCACCCACATGTGCACACATGTGACATGCACCCATACACACCTATGTGCACACGTGACACACCCATACACACAGCTATGTGCACACATGTGACATGCACGCATTGCCACACACACAGGGCACACATGTGACAGCACAAACCCCTCGGGGTGCGCCGGTCAGCCAGTCCCACCCTGAGCTCTCCTCACCCACCTTCTAGGCAGACGCTGTTCCCCACAGCAGAACATCAGAGCCCAAGGGCAGGAAGGAGCCAGAAGGTGGGGTGCACGGGGGTCCCAATGGGCAGGGTACTGGTCACCCCACACCTGATGCGCCCTACCCGCTCCCCCACAGCACAGGAGCAGAAGCCCTCACCTCAGGGAGTGGATGAGGTTGAACTCCGGGAGCTCGTGGAGGTGGAAGGTCCCAGAAGCAAAGCCAGTGACCAAGAGGTGAGTCTTCTTGTGATAGGCTGCGGCCGTCAGCTGGTTGAAGTCGCCTTCTTTGTTGAAAAAGTGCCTGAAGGCCGAGCACAGGCTGAGGAGGGGGCCGGGCCCCAGTTGCCCCGCCAGGACCCCGGCCCCGGCCCCCACACCTACTTGGCCAGCCGCGAGTACTTCACTTTGCCCTGCTGCTCCTCGGCGGCCGGTGTGGCCTTCCCCTGGACGGTGGTCTCGGCCTCCTGCTCGCTCTCGTCCCCCACGTCCCCCAGCAGCACATCGGCCCTCCAGCCAGAGGGGGCCTTCAGCCGCAGGCCCTCGGGGGGCGTGTCGCATTGCCACACACACAGGGCGCCGTCCTGGCTGAGCGTGTATAGCTGCAGGGAAAGGGGGCGGCTGCATCAGTTCCGCCCTGCACACCCCCGGCCCCCCACAGCTGGGCAGGACCTACGTCCAGACTGCAGGACTCGAAGAAGCAGCCCACGATGGCGTCCTTGTGGCCCCCCAACGCGTAGTAGATTAGGTTGTCCCAGCGCTCAGCTCCGAACACCCAGGTGGACATGTCCTTGCTCCCAACGGCGAAACACCTGCAGACGGAGGGCAGCGCAGAGGTCACTGTCCGCTGTCCACCCGGTCACAGCCGACCCCCCACCCTGCCTGCCCAGGCCCCACTTGGAGTCGTCTGTCCAGTCGATGCACGTGGTCTCGTCGAAGGGCCCAAAGTAGGTTTTGTCCAGGGCGAAGGCATTGAACTCCCGCTTCCTCCCGGGGGCATGGTACAGCTGGGCCAAGTTGCCCTTGGTGACCACAAACTTCCTGCATGGACACGGAGGGTGGACATGTCCAGGAAAGAGGATGGGGGTGTCGGGGAGAGGCAAACGTGGTCACACCCGCGCTGTGGGGCTCACACCCAGCATGACAGGACCAGCACCCCCCACCCCCCCAGTACACTCCTAGGGCCCCATGAGCCCTCTGAGGCTGTGCCAGCGGGGGTGGCCGTACCTGCCATCTGGGGAGAAGCAGACACTGCTGACGGAGCCCTTGAAGTGGAAGCGGTGGAGTACGGCCCTGTGAGGCAGGCTTACCAGCAGCGCATCCCCACCTGCAGGAGGGGGCCTGTGAGGTGCCCACGCCACAGTGCCCAGGCCAGAGAGGACTCCCGTCCACTGTCCTGCCACCCAGCACCTCCCGCGGGGGGACGCCTACCTTCGTCCACGATGATGGCCAGGTGGCCATCTGGGGAGAGGCCCACACACTTGACGTTGTAGCGGGTGGCCAGTGGCAGAGTTTCGGATCTGTTGCTGAGAGCACAGGGACATGAGTTCCGCAGCCTGGGGAGGCCGGTCCACACCCGCCCAGCCCAGCAGGAGTCCAGGGCCAGGGCAGAGAGCCCTGAACCCAACCCTCAGCACGTAAAAAAGGGACGAAACCGGGGTCGGAGGGATGGAGACAAGGGTCAAGAAGATACGGGGGCAATGGAAGGCCTGGGGCATGCGGGGACCCAGCACGGGCTGCAAGAGGGGCTGAGGGGGAGCCTGGCTACGGCCTTCGCCGGCCCGGCACGTTCTGGGGCGCGGACGGGGGCGCGGGGGATCGGACCCCGGGCGCGGAGGGGCTCGGACCCGGGCGCCCCGCCTACTTTCTCAGGTCGAACACCGTGACTCTGTTGCCCACGGGGCTGATCACCGAGTTCCCGTCGCACGTGAAGCTCAGGTTCCCACGGCGGTAGACGGTGCCCAGCAGATTCGAGAACTGCGGGGCGAGCCATACTTGTCACGTGTCGGCGCAGCCCGGCCGGCGCGGAGTCCGAGACCCCCGCCCGGGACCCCCGCCCGCGCCCGCGCCCCGCTCACCCGGTACGAGAACTTCATCGTGCCGCCACGCGCCCGCCGCCCGCGCCGCGTCTTGAGCCGGCGCTTCCGCTTCCGGGGCGGGGCTACGGCCGCCGCCGCCCACAGCTCCCCCGGGCGGACTGGAGGAGCCGGCAGCACCCCGCCACCCCGCCCCCGGCTGCGCCGAGAGCCCCGGTCACGCCCACCCTCCCACCTGGCCCCGCCCACACCGCGTTTTAGGTGGAGCCTAGTGCCTGAACCCGCCCATGACGGTGCGGAGCGCCCCCTGGCCACGCCCACCCTCCCAGACTGGCCCAACCATCACGGCGTTCTAGGCGGAGCCTGCGTGCCTGACCCCACCCGCGCTGAGCAGAGCCCTGGCCACGCCCACCCTCCGACCTGGCCCCGCCCACACCGCGTTCTAGGCGGAGCCTGCGTGTCTGACCCCGCCCCTGACTGCAAGGAGCGCCCTGGCCACGCCCACACTGCGGCCTGGCCCCGCCGCCCCACGCAGGGCCTGCACAACCAGCCGCACTCCCACACCCTTTGCGAGCAAGCATCACTGGCACCGCACACCCCGTTTCCCCCATTGCACGGCAAGGCCGGAGCTCTGGTCACGCTCCAGGCGCACTGGGCTGGACTCCGCGGACTGGACCTCACTGGTCAGCACCAATGAAGAAGGGACCCGCCTGCAGGCTGGGGGGCAGCGGGGGGGCAAGAGGGGGAAGCAATGCGTTTTGAAAGAACAAATCAAGGGGAAAACCGCTCTTCTGCAGCTCTTCTACAGGCCGGCTCAGCTCGCCTGCGCAGGTTCCTTCTCCAGCACCCCAGATCGCTGAGGCAGGCACCCCTGAGCATGGGCGGGTCTGGCCCCTCCCCCACACAAGAGAGTTCACGATCAATACTTGCAATAGGCAGTCACCAGCCACTCAAACTTCAGAAGCCGTGGTTCTTTCTTATTTCAAAAGTTCCTCAATGCTTCCCCCAGGTAAGTAACAGAATCGGATTTGGTGAACCGGGAGGATAGAGCGGGATAAGGCACCTGCACGCAGCCAACCCGGGTTGGATCCCCGCACCCCATATGGTCGCCCCCCCCCCCCGCCCCACCTGGAGTCAGAGAGCAGAGCCAGGAGTCAGGAGTATGCCAGAAAGGGGATGGGCGTGACCCCGTCCTCCGAACAGTCCATGCTTACACACGGGAATGAGGGGGAGAAAAGACCCAACTCATGGCAAATGAAGCAAGTTCCAAAGAGCAAAACTTCTTAAAATGTGTATTTTCAGAATTATAATGCTTACATTTTAACAGTCTTAATACAATGGTTTTAGTCTAATAGTAATATATTACAGAATGATGTGAAAAATTACTTTTACAGTAAACCATGATAACGGAATACCTCCAGTGTCAGTCACCAACTCATGGCGTTTACCAGCTGTGACCTCCTGGCCAACAGCATCTTTCGGGCTCTCCCCTGGACACGAGGGGTTCACAAACTGCGCACTGCCTTGGTGCAGCCACGGGACATTCCAACATTCCAAGCTGCGCCCCCCAACCCCGACAGTCAAGACCTGATCACCCATAATCGCGTGACAGCAGCATTCCTCATGTCCGAACACATACCGGAGCGCATATAGTTCAGCCCTAAAGACTGAAGAATGAAGTATGTCTGTGTGTACATTTTCTCTGCTCTTCGTGGGGGTACCGATCCTCACTGAGGAATGGACCTGAGGGCTGTGGTGACATGGAACTGTAGGTAGAAATTCTTTTCAGATTAAATACAACAATCTCCATATCAGAATCAGAAGAGTTATGATTTTTCCAATCACAGGAGGCCCCATGAAATTCACCAAAATTATAACTTTCTGTTCCGTGTACGAGTATTTACAATTCCAGAGATTTGTAAAATAGCTGCATATTCTTTTTATCAGATCAACAGTGTATATCTGATTTCACAATCTAACAGCTGCTACGTATTTATTCACAAAACCAGCTTGGCTCAAACACATAAGCTTTATTTTAAACACAACAAAAATTCAATCACATCCTTTCAGTTAAAACAAAACAAGAGCTTCAGATGACATTCTTTTGTCTAAAAAAAAACAAAACAATACAAAACAATCCAAGTCCAAAATCCAGAGGCACCAACAGAAGGGTTTTTTGTGTGTGTGTGTGTGTGTGTGTGGTTCGTGGATGTCTGGGACCCTATCAATGTTGTTTTTTTGTTTTTGTTTTTTTTTTAATTGAATCCCCGTGGGATCTCTCTTTTACAGTAATGGGAACCAGATCTGCCAAAAAGTTTGATTTCATTACATTTCAGGACTGAGAAACCAGCATACAATTTGGGGCTTCCCCTTCATTTTCTCTCCCTGTAAATCTGTACCTAAGCAAAGAATTTCATCCTGGACCGGGGCGCAGACATCCAACAGAAACTGAAGCCCGCTGAGCAGCTCTCCTCAGAGGAGGGGCACTGCCTGTGCTGGGGGGGCCGAGCGCATGGGGGCTTCCTGATGGCGCCGACCTCCACACCTAGCAGATCTGTAGGGCGACTGTCAGTTCTAACCACGAAACACTCGTTAGAAACCCTGAACTACTGTTAGATGCTTTAGTTCTAATCTGCTTAACTAGTTGATCAAGTTGATTAGTTTCAAATTGCACCTAAAGGAAATAAATTTCTGAAATGTTCAGATAAACACACAAATATTTGTCTTCTTGACACACTTCTCCAGTTTCTAGAAGAGACGTGGGGGTGTTGGCGTGTCCTGCTTTGCGGACGACAACCCCGTCAGCAGCCTCAGAGCAGGGGGTGGCCCCCCGCCGCCCAGTGAGGGAGGAAGGATCGGCCGTGGGTACAGATCCACATCGCTGTCGACAGCCAGGAAAGGCCTGAGACACATGACACTTATTTACAAGCACTTTCACACCGGGAGAAGCAAACACGCCGATTTTGTCCTCGATTTTTGGTGCAAATGATACATAAACATTTTACATCAGTTAGTCTGTCCTTTTAAAAATAATAAATCAACCATATGTACAATTAGATTTACAACGAAAGCAAGTGAACCCGCTGGCCTGGTGGTCCTGCCGTGACCCCCATTCTCCCCAGACCAGAGGACCCCCATGTTCACAGAATGGAACCTCTTGATTTCTAAGACTTAAGGTGCAAAAGAAAAGTATTGACCATACGGTTGCCGCCATAATTAAAATAATATCTATTTAATTCCAAGTGCATCTGTGAGTCGACCAACGTGGCGGGAAGGGGTTTCCGGACTCACCTTCCTTCCTCGGCCACGCTCCGTCCACTCTCCCCGGAGCCCTGTCCAGCCCCGGCCCCCAAGGCACAGAGGGTTCCCTCCTGCCCCCCCACCCCTCCCCCCGCCCGGCCGCACAAGGGGCAGCCGCGGCCCTCGGGTGAGTCTGTGTGTCCCTGGAGCGGGGGACTGGCAGGGACAGGGAGGAAGGACACCAGCTGCCCCGAGGCCCGGCTGCTGCCCGCGGCCAGCGGCGAGGCAGCGAGACACTCACCAGCCCGGGCCCGCCCCGCCACGCGGTCACGTCACGCTGACCTCCAGCACGTGGTCATGCCTGCTGGGCAGCACCAGTACCTGCGTGCCCGCGCTGGCGTTGAAGAGCTGGCCGGGGGGCAGGGCCTGCAGCCGCGGCATGGGCAAGCCCTTGTGCTCGCCGCCACCGCCCGCATGCCCGCCGCCCCGGCCCCGGCTGCCACCGCTGTCCAGTGGGTCGTCCCCATGCTTGTCTACCGACAGGGTGTCATTCTCGATCCAGCTGTCTGCAAAAGGCGCAGTGTGGGCACCGAGGCCGGCCCGGGACAGCCCCCACCCTGCGCCTACCCATGCCCACCCTTACCCGCGTCCAGCTGGGCCGAGTGCGCCGAGTGGTGCGGGAGGTACTTGAAGAGCCGCACATCAGGCAGTGGCAGGTAGCCGGCAAACAGCGGCACGGCCTCCATGTGCACGCGGTGCGTGGCGTGCGCGGTCACGGGCATGGAGATGACGCCCGAGCTCTTCCCGCAAACGGCCCAGTTGCTGCTGTCGTCCACCACTGCAAACAGGAGTGCATTGGTGCGGGCCCCGGAAGAACACCCCCACGCCGAGCAGGGGAGGAGCCAGGGGCGTGAGGCTGAGCTGCTGGGCAGGGGGCAGGGCCGGGCGGCAGGGACCGAGGCCGCGGGCCAGCGGGCAGCGGGGAGCAGAGCTGCCCCGGGAGAGGCAGCGCCCAGACCCACCTTCATACAGCAGCTTGGTGGAGAAGTGCTCGCTGGACCCGGACAGCGCCTCGTCCTTGTCCACCTCCACGAGGTCCAGGAGGCGCGTGATGCACACCTCCAGGGCGCACAGCGAGCCTGTCCTGCAGTGCGGCGCACCCGCCAGCGGCACGATCTCCGCCCGCACCGTGTACAGCGTCTGCCGGGTGACCCAGTCACACAGTGTCCGGGGACTGCGCCCACTCTCACCCGCTCCCACAGGCCTGCTTCCGCTCACTCCCGCTCACACTCCCCTCACTCCTAGTCTCAGACTCCTGCTCCCACTCACACTCACTCATTCCCGCTCTCACACTCACCCCCACTCACACTCAAGTCACTCCTGCTCACACTCAGGCACTCATGCTCACTCCCACTCTCTCCCACATTCCCACTGTCACTCCCTTTCTCACACTCATTCCCGCTCACTCCCTCTCACACACCCAGTCCCTCACACTCTCGCTCTAAACTCACTCTCTCGCACACTCTTACACTTCAGCCTCTCCTGTGTCCAAATCTTCTGCACAGACACCACCTGCAGGCAGGCCCCGGGAATGCAGCCCTGTAGTCATTCCTTAACTGTGGGTCTGGGGCCTGTCCTGGGGCCCTAATAGACGGTCCTGGGGTCTGTGCCCCCACATCACAGTGCCCAACCACTGCCCTGGTGAGTCCAGCAGCAGAGACTGGCCTTCTCACCTGGTCCCGTCCCAGCAAAGCACAAGGACAGCAGCCACCACAGCATGAGCCAGCCCCCCCTTCCTGACTTTCTGGGCGCTTTCAGTGAAACCCAGGGGCCCCCGGGTCCTCAGCTCCCAGGGTCCGACAGACGGGACCTCTGCTGCCCGCCCCCTGCCCCTGGCACTCCCTTCGTCCTGTGGCTCGTGTGGGGTCACGACACAGTCTGGAGCTGCAGCCCACCAAGGCCTGCCACAGCCCGACACTCCCTTCCGCCCCCCCCCCACGCCAAGACTCGACACGTACAAAGAAGTTTTCCACTTGGAAGTCGTAGGTGTGGGGCTGCAGGGAGAGGGATGGCTGCTCCTCTGACGCAGGCGCGAACTGCACTGAGAAGCGGCAGTGCAGGGTGGCGGGCGGCTCCCGGGCCCAGCGCAGCTCCCAGACGAAGAACACACTCTGCTGGCTGTGGGCGCGCTGCGGGGCGGGCGGTGTCACGCGGGCAGAAGCAGGCGCCCACGGGCTTCCCCAACGCCATCCCACCCGCCCTGGACAACAGGGATCCCCCGCCCAGCCGGGGCCCGGGCTGACGACAGACTCGGGAGCACACGCAGCAGGTGAGCACCAAGGGAGGAGAGGAAGCCGGGGCTTCTGCCCGGGCGCTCACGGGGGTGCAGGCTCGGTCACCTGCTGGGCCTGTGTGTTCAGAGGCACCAGCTGCACGTCTGCGCTGTCCCCGGCATCCACAAGCTGGCTCTGTGACAGCTGGAAGTTGAGCTGGGACAAGTTCTGGACGCACACCTGGATGTACTTCCTGCAAGAGAGCAGGACAGGCTTCTAGAGGGAGCACCGCGAGGCCCCTGCAGACGGGGCACTCACTCTCCCAGCCTCCGGCCCCACTGGACAGTGACCCAGACCCAGCAACCCATGTCCATGTGCATGGCGCGGGGCCCCTCCTTTTCTGCAGAGACGGGACCAGGAACCCCAGCTTCTCGCAGGCTGACTCCTGATGTGGGCAGCTGAGCTCACAGGCGGCCACAGGTCCCCAGAGCAGGGGTGCAGACCCCTGTTGGGCTGGAGTTCCCCAGCCCCTTCGGGCAGCAGCAGGTGTGGCAGGGGCTGCCCCCAGGTGCCCAGAGTCTGGGCCGAGCAGTCACCCTGACCTGGGGTGCGAGGGCCACTGAGCAGAACAGCTACAGGACCTGGCCGTGTGCTGGGAGGGTCAGCAGGCAGCCCATGCCCGGCAGCCAGAGCATGGGGAACGTCAGCCTCACTCGGGCCTCTCGAGTCATGTGTGGGGTGCAGAGCCTTACCGTGTCCCCGCGGACAACAACGCATGCGTAGTCCGGAAGGGCATGCTGAAAGTCAGTGCGATAACCGTGGAGTAGATGGACCACGGACAGTCGATGGACACCTGAGGGTGGTGGACAGCACCGTCAGGCCCCGCGTGGAGGAGCAAGGGTCCGGGAGGGTCTCGGTGGTGACTGTACCCCGCGGTGCCCGGAACTGACTGCTCCCTCCCGCTCCTGTCCTGTCCCCCTCCGTTGACCCCTGCCACACAGCACTGAGCTCAGCACCAGCCTCTGCCCACAGTGGCCCCAGGTTCCACACACAAGCAGGCGCCCCCAGCACTGTGGGGGTGTTCCCCAGACGGTGGCCCCTCTGAGATGGGGCAGGGTCCCGGGTCGCTTGAGCTCTGGGTTGCTGGGGCCCCGGGTGGCTGGGATCCGGGGCCTTGCCTTGTGGTCCGTGGTGCTCATGCACACGCCGGCCTTCTGTGCATCTGGGCCGCTCTCCCCGCTGGCCTCTGGCGTGGAGGGCAGAGACAGAACCTCCAACTGGAACTCGATCACGTGGTAGGCGGGTGCGGCGGGCAGGCTGATGCTCGTGACCTTGTCGGAGGCCTGGACACGCAGCGCCGCCTCAGAAGCCTTCTCTAGGGGACAGGCCAGAGTCACCAGGGGCAGGGGCACAGCCCCAGCAGGTATCACCCGAGAGCTGAGGCCCCCCAGAGCCCACATGATGCCTGGGGGAGACTGTGACCCAGAGGCCCCCACCACATAGACCAGGGCCAGGGCTGGTGAGGACCCTAAACACGAAGTCAAGTCCCCAGGGACGGGATAAGGGCTCTCCTGGGGCCCACAGGCGGGCGAGCTCTGCTGCCCTCACCTCTGGCATTGGAGTAGACGACGGCCCTGCTGCCCATGGGACAGAGGATCAGCATGGCCTCCGTGTTGCTGACCTGCAGGCTGTCCCCGTTCTTGACCGTGTAGTGGCCAGTCGTGACCGTGAACCTGACCCTCTGCGGGATCCCCGCCAACAGGCTGTCTGAAGCGGGAGAGAGCCCTCAGCACCCGCTCTCCCGACGGCCACTCGCCTGGGCGGGTCTCCAGCCCTGCCCCCACCCGTGGGGACTTAGGGGCGTGGCCGCCGGGACGGGAGGGCCTGGGCTCAGGTGCCGGCACCTAGCAGGCATGGGGCAGCAAGGGGGTACGTGGTTACCCCAAAACGAGGCAGGGGTTGGGCAGGAGGCGGAGCCCTGGAGACGTGGCCCCCAGCAAGAGTTCGGCCTCCCACGGCGACTCCTGTCAGGAGTGTCCTTGCGGGGAGATGGCCAAGTAGTCTGAGGCGTGGGGCGGTCCCCGGAGGAAAAGACGGGAGAGCCCGGCCCTCCCACGGAGCAACACCCGGACTGGGTCCACCACGCATCAGGGTGCAGACGGGGGTCTCCCTGAGGGGCAGGTGGGGGGTGAACGTGGACACGGATGAGGAGGGGCAGTGCGTGAGGAGGAGTGTGTGAGGGTGGGCATGGCGGGGAGGGGAAGCGTGTGAGGGGCAGCGTGTGAGGGGCAGCATGTGAGGGGTGTGGATTCAGGTGACGGGCAGTGTGGGACAGGTGAGGGGCCACGTGTGAGGGGCAGCGTGGGCAGGGTGCCAGCCGCTGGGCGGAATCTGGGGTGCTGGCGACACACCATGCTCCAGCTAAGGCCTGGCAGTGCATCCCTGTCCTCCTGGCTCGGCTGTGGTCACACCGGTCTTGGGGCTGCTCTGAGGAGCTGGCGTCCCTGCCGCAGGACTCACCGCTGAGCGGCTCCACGCGCAGCTGTGGCTCCTGGGAGTAGACGTCGTAGTGCGCGGGTGGAGACAGCGGCGGCAGCACGAAGTGGACGGGGCCCAGCGAGGCACGCAGCTGGCGCAGCGTGTAGGTGCCCGGCTCCCGCGCCTGCGGGGAGCAGTGCTCAGCTCCTGCCCGGCTCAGCCCAGTCCTGGCCCAGCCCCGGCCCCAGACCCACGCCCGCGCACCTGCATCTGGAAGGTCACCCGGTTGGGCCCCGGCTCCAGCGTGACCCTGCTGCTCCGCAGCACGTGGGCGCCATCGTCCAGGGTCAGGCCCGCTGGCTCGGGGGCCGCGCTGCTGTCAGGCCGGCGCAGGAGCAAGTGTGCATTCCTGCAGATGAGCCCCGCTGTGCTCAGCGAGTTGTCCGAGGGGCTCCGCTCCGTCATCTCGGAGAGCTCGAGGGCCGGCAGCCCGTGCTGGGCGGCGGGGAAGGGCGCGGGCTCGGCGGGGAAGCTCAGCAGCCCGTTGGCCGTCTTGTGCGTGGTCAGCCACTCGGCCGTCTTCCGGTAGTTGTTCTTGTCGACGCTGAAGTGGCCGTGCAGGGCGATGTGCTCCACGCACACGGGCATGGGCAGCCGGCTGCACAGGGTGATGGTCACGCCCAGCACCCCGCCCGCATGCACCACGGCGCTGGCGGGCTCGAAGCACAGGTCCCGCAGGTGTGCGAATGAATTCATGGGGAGCACGACCATGTGACCTGTGGAGACAGCGCAGGACTGAGCGGGGGACGGCGGGAGGACAGGTCTCCTCTGTAGCCCGCGGGCCGGCCCCTCTCGCCCGAGGCAGCCCATCTCACCTGGGCCATCGGCCGGCTGGGCAGCGAAGTTGAGGATCTCCTGGCAGAAGTGCCGGCGCTCGTCCTCCGACAGGTGCCTGTCGCTGGCCAGGAGGCTGCTGGTCTGCAGGTAGCTGGGGCAGAGTTAAGGATGGTTGGGCACCAGCACCCCCACGGCTGCTGACCCGAGGGAGACCCGGGTGCGGGCGGCCCACAAGGATACTTCTCCGTCTGGCCCAGGCGCTTCTGGCACTCGGCCAGCTGCTTCCTCGTGTGCGCCACGGGCAGCGCCCAGCCCTCGGCCAGGTAGGTCCTCAGCGCGCCCTGCAGGTACACCTCCGCCTTCTGCGGGGACTTCTTCCTCCTGCCCGTGCAGAGCCTCTCTCAGCTCGGGGCCCGTCCCTGCCACCCCTCAGGGCAGGAGACCGGGGAAAGCCTGGGGTCCCCGCCTGTCCTCCCCAGACCCCACACACTGGGCCAAGCTCAGGGTGGGCAGCTGACAGGAGGCCGAGCCTGGGGGGTTCCGACAAATGGTCAGGGCACCGCGGCCAGAGTTAGAGGGCCAGAATTGGCACACTCGGCCCCGAGGGCAGAGAACAAGGCCACAGGCCGGCCCCACCATCACAGGCAGAGAAGCAGGACAGCAGGGTGGTGGGAACAAGCTCCCCGCCCGAGCGCCCAGGGCCTCGAAGAGCCAGCTCATGGTACAAGCCAGGGCCCTGCTCCCTGACCCCCGAGCTCCCCTGCTTCCTGATCCCCACACACCCCTGCTCTGACCCCCACGCACCCCTGCTCTCTGACCCCCACATGCCCCGCTCCCTGACCCCCCCCCCGCACCACTGCTCTCTGACCCCCAGCTGACTATGCTCACCCCCTCCCCTGCGGGCACACAGGCCTCTCCTCAGACGCTCCCACGCAAAGCCAAGTTCCCAGCAATTACATGTAAAACTCGGCCAGGTCCTTCCCCAGCAGCTGGGCCGACCGCGTCCTCCCGATGCTCCTGTACATCTCGATGGTGGCGTGGGACAGGTCCTGCAGGAGGGACCCACGGGCGGGAATCTCACGAACAAAAGGCCACGGATTCATGGCCCCAGAGAAGCCCCCTCAGGCATCCCTGCCCGTCTCTCACTCAAGCTCCCTCGGTCCACAGACCGAGCGCGAGAAGGGAGGCGCGAACCCGCCTACTGAGCAGGGCCTGACCCTCTGGCGGGACGGGATGACAGGATGGCGAGACAGGACATGCCCTCCTGACGGCTCCAGCAAGGGGACCACTGAGTTTCCATGCCTGTCAGGGTCACAGGGCCCACTGACCCCCACTATCTCTGCACCAGGGGTCACCTCACCAACCCCACCATCTCTGTGCCAGGGGCCACCTCACCCACCCCACAGTCTCTGCACCCCACACCATCCCGCATGCCCACTATTTCCGGGGTTACTTCCTCTAAGGCCAGTCATGCCGCTGAGTTAGAGACAGGCCCATCCCCTGCCCTGAGCAGCCCTTGGCCTCCTTTCTTCCTGCTCCACCCCACCCTACGCACAGACTCGGCATGGCAGGGCCGGGCGAGAGGCAAGAGAGCCAAGGCACTGACCAGGTAGTGCTTCTCGAAGGCTTCCACCGACGACAGGGCCTCCTTGAGCTTCTTGTAGGGGCTCTGGGCTGTGTTGGCTGCAGAGGAAAGAACAGTCCTGACCAACCTAGGCCCCTGCACCAGGGCCTGCGGTGGCGACGCCGGGCAGCGGCACCCCACAGTCGATGCCCCAGCACCAGGTCAGCCTCTCCAAGACCAGAGTCACTCTGCCAAGTGTGAATCGGGAACGCTGCTTGCAATGTCAGTGGGGGCTCATGCGTTCACCTCGGGCCCTGACATTGGGCAGGGGAGGGATGGGCCATGTGGTCAGGGTGCAGGCGCCCTTCCCCCAGCACCCATTCCCCCGCACATAGGACTCAGACCCAGCTCTTCTGCTCTGGCTGTGATGGGGGTGCCCTGGCCGGCTCCCACTGAGGGTCTCTCCCACACAACAAGGGCTCAGAGGGCCCACAGGGAGACCCCACGCGCCACTCTGCCCCTGGCACACCTGTCTCGGGGCGCTCGGCTCCCAGGCCCGCCAAGAGGTCGACAGTCCTGTTGAGATCTTCCGAGTCGGGGCCCTTCTCAGACACAAGTCCACACAGGTAGCCCAAGGCCTTGAGCTGGAGTGAGACCACCGTGACCTCAGCCCCCAGGTGAAGGTCAGCAGGGGCTTACGCGTGCACCTCGGACCCTGACATCAGGCAGTCTCGGGGGACCCGGGTCCCTGCCCCGAGGCCCGCCCTCTGTGGCAGACTGCCCCCCCCACCCGCAGACCCTGGGGACACAGCCGGAGGCCACCCGGCCCGGGAAGGGAGACCTTCTCAGTGGCGTAGGCCCAGAGCCCCACGGTGTGGGCAATGTTGGAGTCGAGCTGGGCGCGGTCACAGCAGCCCTCAATCCTCTGTAGCACCTCCAGGCAGCTCAGGAACACCCAGCAGTCGAGGGCGCCGGGCGGCACGGACACCTGCAGGCAGGGGTGCGGGCATGAGGGTGCGGCCATGACACTGGCCGCCCAGGACATCTGGTGGCCCGGGGTACCAGGCGGCATGGCCTCAACACCAGCTCCTCAACCCCCCGGGGGCAGACTCTGGAAGAACAGGGCAGGCAGGGCAGGGCGGGCTGGAACAGCACAGACAGCCCCGATGGGGGTGTGGTGTGTGTGTAACAAGGAGGCCCTGCGGGAGATCGGGCACAGTGCTCCCCACTGATGGGCAGCCCCAGCCAGGCCCTTACCCCATGAGCTCACAGACCCCGGGACTCGCCCCGTGTCTCCCACAGACCCCCACAATGGGCAGGGAGGGGGTGAGGAGCCCAGAGGGCGGGAGAGCAGGGTAGAGGGGCCGCGCTGCTGGGCAGGAAGGGGCGCCAGAGATAGCAACGAGGCCCAGGACAGAGGCTCCCCCGGCTCTCCCAGGCCTCAGCCTGTGGGTGCCCCTGAGCTCCCCACTCACATCCTGAGTGCGTCCCCCGCTGAGGCACCCACCTCCCACCTCCTACCAGGAAGAGCCTGAGGCTGCGGTTGGGGACAGGATGGGGAGATGCTGGCCTGGCACACAGCATGGCCAGGGAGGACCCCTGATCACCGCCAAGTGTGGCCCTAAGCCCCTCAAAAGAAGAGCCTGTGGGGCTAGAGCCAGAGCATGGAGGACAGGGTCCCGCCCTCCCTCCTGCTGGCCCCGACTGCACCCCAGCAGAGTGTTCTCTGAGCCCCCCCAGGGCTGACTCCTCAGCACAGAGCCAGGAGTAAGCCCTGAGCAGCACTGCCGAGTCGGGGGCCTTCAACAGCTCTCGTCCACACAGTCTGGTCAGCCGTGCCCACAGTCACTACAGGTGGACAGTCGTAGCCCCTCGGGCACTGCAGACAAGGCAGGTATAGGCCAAGCGGGACACGGCCAGGCAGGGAGGAAGGTGCCCTCAAGTCCCTTGGCACGTTGCGGACAGGGGAGGGGGCCCGGTCTCAACGGGCCCCAGGCCCCTTCTCCAGGAAGGCAGCTAGGCTAGCACCACCCTCGTCGGCACCACTAGGTACCTGAGGGGTCCCCACCCGCTCACACCCTTGGAGTGGTCCCCGGCCCAGCCTGCCGAGGCGCAGGGAACAGGGCGAGCACTGTGGGCCAGAGAGGACCAGGCAGGGCTAAACCAGATGCCCACCCAGGAACCTGGCTCCAGCTCCTGCTGGGGTCTCTGCTTCATGCGGGCGCACAGCCGCACACCCGGGGGTCTGTCGTCATGCATGGGCACACGAGGCCCCGTGAGGTGCTGTCTGTGGAAAGTCGTCCCCCCCTGCCCGTGTGCCCTGGGAGACCCCAGGAAGGAGTCGCCCTCACACCCCCGCGTCCTGCTGGGACGTTATTCGTACATGAGAGCAGCCCCCAGAGAACGTGCTGCCCTCAAGGGGCCCTAAGAGGGACCTGGCGGCGTGCCAGGCCACAGCAAGTCCACCCACCACGGGCAGCGCCAGTGCTTGCAAATGGGAAAACTGAGGCGGGGGAGGTCAGGATAGTACAAGGGTCCCTGGGCCCGGGGACAGAGAACAGGACAGCAGGGGTCACCCTGGGCCCGGTGGGGGCGGGGCGGAGATTTGGATGGGGCAGTGGTGGCGGGCCTGTTCTGGGGGACAGATGGGGCACCGGGGGGCCTGGCCTGGGGGAGGGCCAGGGCAGTGGGGGCCTGGGGGAGGGACTGGCAAGGGCTCCGGGGAAGGTCGGGTAAGGGGGCCCGGGGGAGAAATGGAGCAGGGGGGCTGGGGGAGGGCCGGGCAGTGGGGCCGGGGGAGGGTGGGGCAGGGGGTCTGGGGGACAGACGGGCAGCAGGGCCCAGGGGAGGGAGGGGCCTGGGGCCCTGGGGGAGGACGGGACAGCGGGCCGGGCTCACCTCCAGCAGCCGCAGCTCCTGGACGCAGCTGTGCAGCAGCTGCAGCGCGCGCTGCGCCACCTCCCAGGGCCGCTGCAGGAAGAGCAGCAGGGTGCACTGGCGCGAGAACAGGTAGCTGCGCAGGTCCAGCAGCGTGGCCTCCTGCCGCTGCACCAGCTCCCGCTTCTCCATGTCGATGGGCTTGCGCAGGACCAGTCCGTTCCAGCTCTTCACCGGCTGGCAGAAGAACGCCAGCCAGTTGGCCCCATCTGAAGGAGGCACGGTGTGAAGGGGCCGGCGCAGCTCCCTCCCACGGGACCCCGCGTCTCCACGCCCCCTGGCCACTGCCCACACAGCCCTGGCACCGAGGCTGCGCCAGGGACGGTCCCCAGGCCGACGGCAGTCAGGAGCCAGCACGGGATGAAGGGCCCTGGGGTCGCTCAGACTGGGAGAAGACAAGCTGGAGCCACAGGACAGCAGGGACAGCACTGGCCTTGCACACAGCCCACCCTGCTCCGATGCCTGCATCCCGTATGGTCCCCTGAGCCCTGCCAGCAAGAAGGTCTGAGCACTGCCCGTGTGCAGCCCCCAAAAAGGGAAGAAAAGGGCCAGAGCAGTAACACAGCAGGTCAGGCACCTGCCTTGCATACAGCAGACCTGGGCCCTGAGCCTTGCCAGGAGTGAGCCCCGAGCAGAGTTGGGAGTAAGCCCCGAGCAGAGCCCGGAGTGAGCCCCGAGCACAGAGTCGGGAATGAGCCCCGAGCACAGAGCCGGGAGTCAGCCCCGAGCACAGAGCCAGGAGTCCGCCCCGAGCACAGAGCCGGGAGTGAGCCCCAAGCACAGAGCCAGGAGTCCGCCCTGAGCACAGAGCCGGGAGTGAGCCCCGAGCACAGAGCCCGGAGTGAGCCCCGAGCACAGAGCCGGAAGTCAGCCCCGAGCACAGAGCCCGGAGTGAGCCCCGAGCGCAGAGCCCGGAGTGAGCCCAGAGCACAGAGCCGGGAGTCAGCCCCAAGCACAGAGCCAGGAGTCCGCCCCGAGCACAGAGCCGGGAGTGAGCCCCAAGCACAGAGCCAGGAGTCCGCCCCGAGCACAGAGCCCAGAGTGAGCCCCGAGCACAGAGCCGGGAGTCAGCCCCAAGCACAGAGCCAGGAGTCAGCCCCAAGCACAGAGCCAGCAGTGAAGCCTGATCACAGAGCCAGGAGTCAGCCCTGAATGAAGCCACATGTGGCCCCAAAACAAACAGAAACCACCAAAATGAGGAAGCCGATCCCAGCAGCCTGAGCCAGGGTGAAGGCACAGGGCTCCAGCGCTGACCACACAGGCCCGGCCACCCATACTCGGGCTCCGTGGGCCCATCTGTGCTCCTGCAATGCACTGCTGAGTCTCAAGGAGAGACGAGCCCCAGGCTGACGGCCCCTGCGCCCACGGCGACAGCCCGGAGCCACCACCGACCACCTCCGCACTGGGGTCCGGCAAGGGGCAGGGGGGACCCACGAGGAGAGCCTGCGTTCGGCCCGGGCCTGTGTGAAGGACGCTGGGGCAGGGACGGCGCGCGGCTCACGGCCGTCACTCACCCCCAGCGCCGAAGTTGACGACGTACTGCGAGAACAGGGCATCCAGCTCGTCGTACTGCACCAGCGCATCCTCCAGCTGCTGCAGCATCTCGAACACGAAGGCCAGCTCCTCCTGCAGGGGACCCGGCCGGTCAGCATGGCGCAGGGCAGCGGAGGCCACGGCGGGGGGAGCCGTGGATGATGCTCACCCTGGCGGCCCCTCCCACCTGGACAGCGCCTGTCCCTGCACGCTGGGCTGTACCCGCCCCTCCCACAGCGACCCCAATCAGATGCGGGGTCCTGGCCAGGGGGCTGAGGCCCACTCTGTGGCCCTGCTTAGCGGCCACCTGACCTGGCCCACACCTGGGAAGGTAAGCAGGGCCCACAGAGGTGGACACCTCCAGTAGGCGAGCAGGAACACGGGGTGGCCCCCTCCCACCCCCCCTCCCCAAGGGAGCAGACTGTCCACATTCAAACGGCCCGCTGTGGCCCCAGGGGTGGCCTTCCCGGGGCACCCACCAAGAAGGGCAACGCTGTCTCTGCAGCTCAGACACTGCGAGTGCAGCTCTGTGGGGGCCGGCCATTCTGAGCACTGACCAGGGTCAGTACCCGCTGGGCACCACGGGGGCCGGCTGCTCTGGGTGCTGACCAAGGTCAGTACCCACTGGGCACTGCTGGCAGCATTTGCTCACATCCGTGAGGCAGCGTAACAGCCACAACAAAGGATCGATCCCCGAAAAATCCTCTCTGAGAAGCCAGAGGACGGGAAGGACTACACAGCGGTCTCCAAGATCAGCAGAGTCACTGTGGGCAGGGATGGGACAGGGCGGGGCCGAGGACCTGGACCATGAAGTACTCGCAGAAGCCCCAGCCGGGCTCGGTCCTCTTCTCCCTCAGCGTCCTCATATCGTCCTCAAACCTGCCCAGGTTTTTGGTGAAGGACATGAGCAGCAGGGTCCTGAGTTTGGTCAGAAAGGCATTCCAGGACTCCTGCGTCCGAGAGGAGTCCTTCAGGGGGTCCGAGAGCACCACACACCTGCGAGGACGCACGCAGCTGACGCCAGGCTGCCGCAGCCCACGGGCACCTCCAGGTCTCCGAGACCATCAGGGCGCACTGGGCCAGGGTCCCGCTGAGAGGCAGCAGTCGTGGCCCTCAGCCCTTCCCCAGCCAGCGCCCGCTCTCAACATCACTGGGGTCCCCATCCTGCCCCCCGCCACGGGCCCTGGCGGCCGCGGGCGGCACTCACCGGTCGCTCTGCTTGTTGCAGAAGTCGTTCCTGATCTTGTCCACCAGAGACGTGCGGGGTAGGATGTTGGTCTTATTTTTCTTCTTGGCATCGTTTTCAACTACCACGATGAGCCAGTCCACAGAGCTGTGCGCCCTGAGCACGTTCTGCCACTTGGTGAGGTCGTCCTTCACCGTGGCCTTGTACACTTCTGTGTCCTGGGGGGAGACCACAGTCACCCAAGCTGCACAGGGACGGCCCTCTCTGTGCCATGACGGCACAGGCGTGGAAGAGGAGCCCCTTTGGTTCAGCCAGCGCTGCCCGGCCCAGGCCTCCGGGCACAGCCCCCCAGGACCAGGGCCAGAGAAAGCCCAGAATGGCCAGCAGGGGGCTCTCAGCCCTGCTCCCGCACACCCACGGCACACATGGGCCAGCCAGAGCAGCTACAGACATGCTCCAGAGACAGGCAGCCGGGCTGGTGAGCTACCTTCAAGCCTGAGTCAGGAAAACACCAAGTTGCCGGCATCTCCCCCACCCCCGAGTCCCAGCATGCCCCCCCCAGTCTCCCATCCCCCTCCCCAAGTCCCCCGTCCCTGAGTCCCCCTCCCCGAGTCCTCCCTCCCCAATACCCCTCCCCGAGTCCCACGCCCCTCTCCAAGTCGCCCCTCCCCTCCCGGAGTCTCGCTCCCTCGCACCCTGATGCAGGGCTCTGGCCTACAGAATCAGTGAGTGTGGCCCGGTCCCAGTCGGGCATAGCAGCAGTAACTGTCCGGGCTCCGTTTACTTTACTGGCAAGATCTTGACGTACCCGGGCTGCACTGAGCAGACTTGGAGTGAACAGAGACCAAGTGCCGGCACAGGGCAGTCCAGTCCCCAGAGGCCCTGGGCATGTGCGGGCAGCTTGCCCTGGACGATGATCAGTCCCGAGGGCAGCGCCTGCCCTGTCCTGTCCCTCCGCTCCCCTGAGATGCTGTGCTTGGTTTAAACCAGAAACAAAACAAGGAGCCGGAACGATAGCACAGCGGGGAGGGCATTTGCCTTGCACGTGGCTGACCCGGGTTCGATTCCCAGCATCCCATAGGGTGCCCTGAGCACCGCCAGGAGTAATTCCTAAATGCAGAGCCAGGAGTAACCCCTGAGCATCACTGGGTGTGACCCAAAAAGGAAAAAAAAAAGGAAACGAAACAAATCCAACCTGCCCGGATCAGGGCTGAGGCGTGGGGACAGTCTGTCACCCTCAGGGTCAAAGGGTAGGGAGACAGTGCAACCTGACCACACTGGGCATCACAACCCCAGTGCCCAGGCAAGCTGCATCCAGAAAGGGTCCAAGAGCAGGGCCCAAGGACCACAAGCCAGGCAGCTCGTGAGTCAGAGCTGGGAAACCGCTGCCCAAGACGGGAGCCCTGCTGGCTACTGGGTGGACGCTGTCCACAGCCTGCTTCTCACGCCGTCTGTGGGCACTCAATCCCCAGGATGGGGGACAGGGACACTCACACAGCACTTGGCTCAGCAGAAAGGCAGGGGGACACTCACGCAGCACTCAGCCAGCAGGGTAGGGGGGACACTCACGCAGCACTCGGTCCAGTAGATGTGCAGGAAGGGGAAGGTGAGCAGCGCCTTGTTGCCCTCCTTGGGCAGCAGCTCCTCCTTGAACTGCACAAAGTTGGACTCCAGGTGGATCATCTTGGGGGCGCGCCCGTAGGACCTGCAAACAGGGTGGGTCACCACGGAGGCAGGGGGGATGACGAGGCTGCCTAGACCCTGCCAGGACAGTCCCCACGCTTCGTCTCCGGGCCCCTCGGGCAGCAGCGCGGCAGCTGTGGGAAATGGCCCTTTCTGGCTGTGCGCGCAGGCGGGCATCTGGCCACTCAGCACTGATGCACGGGCCGAGGCCATCCCAGGGCGGGTGCGGGGACACAGCCCCGCGCTGGGGGTCAGAACCTGCATCCTCCACACTTCCTGCTGGCCATCCCGCCAGGCCCAGCCTGCTGTTTCGCACACGCGCCCCTGCTCGGCCCAAGTCCAGACTCACCCAGCGGCGCCCCGCCCGGCCGCTCACCTTCTCCACTCCATGGGCTCCCGCGGCAGCTGCTGCGACAGCGTTGGGTACAGAGAGGTGAAGAGGTTCTGGTCCCCCGCACCTGAGAAGAGCAGAAGCCAGTCAGGGTCGGGGGACACTGTCTCCTCAGCCAGTCGGACACGCGGGGACACTGCCCACGGACACATCCCTGGAGGAGCCAGAGGGACGGCGCTGGGCCCCAGCCCAGCCCAGAGGCATGTCTCCTGCCCGAGGGGCCACCCACAGCCCCGAGGGACCCGGACCAGAGGACTCGCTTCCTGGGGACCCTCAGACAGGGAGACCCTTGGGCCCAGCACAGCCGTTTTCCCAATGGTTTCTCTTCCAACCTTCTAGAGTTGCCGGCCCGGGCTCCTGATCCGCCTGGCCTGGCCCACCCCGGTGAGCTTAGGGAATGGACAAGCCTGCGGAGGGCACCCAGGAAGGGGAGAACCTGCAGGGAAGGCAGGGCATCACCTACAATGGGCACTGTAGCCCTGCGTGCCTTCTGCCAAGACATGGGACAGACCCTTCAGGGCTTGTTTTCCAGCCGTGCAACCGCCTGGGAGCCTTGGGTGCAGGATGCGGCACGGACAGGCCCGGGGCTGACCCGCTTGGCCCCTCCCTGCCCGTGTCCTTCCTTCCTTCTCCTTTTTTGGGGGGGTGTCCCGGCAGTGTTCAGGCCTGGTGCTTCTGTGCATCTCAGCCCATGGGAAGGCAGGTGTGTGTGGGGTGCATAGCCGAGGGTCACCCGGGCCACCCAGGGCCTCCCCTGCTGGTTCTGCCCCCTTGGCGGGGCACGCACCCAGCCTAGGCACTGTGCATCTCTGGCCCAGTGGCTCCCGTGCCTTCCAGAAGCATTGGCCAGTGCCGCCCACTCCCCGAGGACCAGCCCATGGCGGGCAGCAGGAGGCAGCAAGAGGCCAGGCCCACCATGCAGCACGTGTGATGCCCCAAAACTCAGTGGAACAAACTCACGGTCCCCTGAGATACTACAGGGCCACGTGACACCATCCTTCCTCACTGCTCGGTCACCCTCGGGACACCGGGGAACCCACATGGCCCCTCACACCCACCCTCAGGGGCCCCGGCGAGGCTGGGGGCACAGCCCCAGCACATTCCTGTCTGAGAACTCAGTCTGGTCTCGTCTGGAGAAGGTCGGACAGGGACGGGCCACCCTCTGCCGAGCCCTGACCTGCAGGAGGAATGGCCCCTTCAGAGGGGCTCAAAGTTCTACACGGCGCCTGCTGGGCCAGGCCAGTTCTGGTGCTAGTCAGTAAAAGGATGGAGACATGGGCGGGAGGCCACCAGACAGGCCCCTCAGCCACACACCGGTACCAGCCAGTGCAGCCCGACCCCTGCCCAGGACATGTCACCATGGACCTTGGGCAGGGGGAGGGAGAGTGGGGCTGCGGGGACGCGTGAGTGAGCTGGCCCTATCGGCTGCTCAGCTCCTCGACAGGACTACCGGGACAGCTCGGGCCCCCGGGCATCAGTGAGCAGCTTGCGGGGCCCGAGCACATCACAGGCATGGCTCGTCCCTGGGAGGCCGATGATGCCCTCACCGTCCCTGCGCCCTGAGTCACTCCAGCCGGGCTATGGACCGTGAGTCACAGTGGAGGAGAGAGGTGACCGAATCCAGAGCCACTGTGCCGCTCGACACCCACGGGCAACTTTCAGTCAGGCCCGGCACTGCGCACGGAGGGCCCGGACATGCGGCCCCAGGAGAGCCCACGGGCCGGCTACTCTCTGCAGCCTAGAACCCGCGCTCACCCAGACCCATGGCTGCGAGGATGCTGGCCTGGCCAGAAGGGGCTGGGGCCAGAGAGGCCCGGCATGCATGCGCCAACCCAGGTCTGGGTCCTGGCACCACCCCGGGCGCTGCCAGGAGGAAACCCTGAGCACAGCCAAGTGTGGCCCCAAAGGGAAAGGGGAGGGCCCCATAGAGGACTCCAGGGAGCTCTAGGTGGCTCTTCAGGACACAGGATGTCTGACTGACCGATGCCAAGTCAGCACCCAGCACCAACCAGTGGCCTGAGTCTTCCTGTCCTGGGGGCAAGGCCTAGCTCAAGGCTCAGGGCTCACTCGGGGGGCACCACAGGCGCCACCAGGGAGAACCCAGGGCCATTGCGGGCTCCCAGCCCGTGGCACTGAGTCCGCGCCCTTACCGCCCACACAAGTCTGCCGCGCAGAGCAGCCCCTGGCAGGACCCGGCCACCACCCAGCAGCTCAGCCCTGCACCCTGCACTGTGGGGGCCCTCAGCAGGACCCGAGCCAGCTCAGAGCCCCCAACCCCCCGCCAAGGTAGCACGGCAGTCGGCCTGGACACACGTGATGTGGATGAGGCAAAAGGGAGCGTGAGCATGCAGCATGCAGGATGGGCCGGATCTGTGAGCCTACACGGGGGCATGAGCGCGTGTGAGAGAGCATCAGCGTGTGAGCAGGCCCCAGCCCCCCGGACCCCTTAGGGGGAGTCCTGCCCAGTGCCCAGACATCAGCCCTGCAGAGCCGGCAGGACGGAAGGGGCCTCACCCGTGGGCTCTGGGAGGGAGAAGCATGTCCCAGGAACCCTGGGTCCAGTGTGCGTCCGAGCCCCCACGGCACAGCCCACCACAACGGACAGCTTGGAAGCCAGGGTGGTGGCAGGAGCGGGCAGCTGTCTACTGGAGACACCCGGCCGAGGTGCCGCGCCCGCCCCCGCGCAGCTGCTGGGTGCCCAGCAGGGCCGAGGCAGCGGGCACTGTCCTCTCCGCAGTGGGATCTCGGGAAAGGTCTCAGCCCCCATCACAGCAGGCTGGTGGGCTCGGCACAGACCCGCCCACGGCCAGGAGCGTCCATTAACAGGCTCCTGGCCACTCGGTGCAGGTGGGGAAGCCACAGCCTGTCCCTCTGGGACCACCGAGCAGAGACCCCTCGGGCGGCCACTGTGGCGGGGACAGCCTCTGCCCAAATAGACAGCGAAGGGACTCGGCAGAAGTCTCAGCCACATGGAGGCGCAGGGCCCAGGGCCCAGTCTATACAGTGACCAGGGAGCCCAGCCCAAATGGGGCAGTGACCAGGAGCCCAGTCCACCGTGGGGCAGGGATGGGGAGCCCAGGCCACAATGGGGTAAGGACTGGGTGCCCAGGCCACAGTGGGGCAGGGACGGGGAGCCCAGGCCACAGTTGCACAGTGACCAGGTGCCCAGGCAACACTGGGGCAGTGACCAGGAGCCCAGGCCACAGTGGGACAGTGACCAGGAGCCCAAGCCACACTTAGGCAGGAACGGGGAGCCCAGGTTACAGTGGGGCAGGGATGGGGAGCCCAGGCCACAGAGGGACAGTGACCAGGTGCCCAGGCAACACTGGGGCAGTGACCAGGAGCCCAGGCCACAGTGGGACAGTGACCAGGAGCCCAGGCCACACTGAGGCAGGAACAGGGACACCAAGCCACAGTAGGACAGTGACCGGGTGCCTAGGCCACAGTGGCGTAGGCCCCACTCGCGGCCAAGCAGGCGCTGGACAGCTCCCAGCACAGGCACCGGCCTCACCTGGGCCCTCCCCAGACCGACCGGGCCAAGCCCCTGGGTCCCTCCCTCGGCCCTGCCCGGACGGCTACAAACAGCGGGGGCTCCCGGGCCATCGGACACGCGCGGCTGTTCCCGCCGCGGACACGCAGGGACCGAGGGCCTGGGCGGGCACGGGCGGGCAGAGGCTGCGCCGCCCCGCGGGGGACACTGGGCCGGGCCGGAAGCCCCTACGGAAGGGGGGGCTGGACCCTGAATGGGCCGGTTCCGGGCGGGGAAGAGGCGGAGGGAGGAGCCGGCCTCGGCCCGGACCGGACCCGGGGCAGACCCGGACCTAGCCCGGACCCGGCTCAACCCAGACCCGCACCCGGGGCAGACCCGGACCCAGCCCGACCCCGACCCGCACCCGGGGCAGACCCGGACCGACCCCGACCCCGACCCCGACCCCGGCCCGCCCCCGGCCCGCCCGCTCACAGGTGACGATGGGCTTGTTCTCCATGGTGTACACGGGCGCGCCCGCCATGGGTCCGCCTCAGCGGCCCGGCCCCCCGCGCCCCATGGGCCCGCGCCCCGCCGCCGCCGCCGCCGCCGCCGCCGAGCGCTTCCGGGTCGCGAGAGCGCTTCCGGGGCGCGCGCTTAAAGGGGCGGTGCGGCCGGCGCGGGCCGAGGCGGGGCAGCGGGCGCCGCCCGGTCCCCTCCGTGCGGTCGCCTCGTCCCCCATCGGGCCGCGCCCGAGGTGGCGGGCTGCTCCCGGCACAGTGCTCCGGGGCGCTCGCGGCCCGCCGCCCGCCGCCCGCCGACCTGATCGTTTCCGGGTCAAACGCGGCCCCAGGGAAGCCGGGCGGGGGCGGGGGGGGGGGGCCGCGGGCAGAGCTGGCAGGGCCCGGGGAGTCATCCCAGGCACTGCCAGGACAGGCCCCAAACAGGAAACAAACAGAAGCACTGGTCAGGCGAGCACACCGCCACGAGGTCCAGAGCACTGTCCAGGTGCTCAGACTGAAGTACAACACGAGGCCGGGGAGGGCACGGGGAGACCAACCCAGGTCTGATCCCAGCACTGCACAGGGTCCCTGAGCACCCCCCAGGAGAGAACCCCGAGCACTGAGCCCCGAGCACATCCCCAAGCAATGAACACTGAGCCCCAAGCACTGAGTCCCGAGCACAGAGCCCTGAGCACTGCTGGGAGAGAGCCCCAAGCACAAAGCCCCAAACTCTAAGCCCCGAGCACAGAGTCCTGAGCACTGCAGGGCAAGACCCAAAGTTTAGAGGGGAAAAAGGCAGCTGCTGAATCAGCTATGGTCTGCGATGCCGGAAGTTCCTCATTCAGGATGAGGAACAGTCACAAACTGAAACGGGCCTGAATCTGCTCACTGCGGGCAGCCAGAAGGTAGAAGTCAAGAAGTCAGTGTCTGCGACGTCCCTCCACCAGCCCAGCCTGTGGGGCCAGGAACAGCCTCAGCATAACATGGGCCACGTGGCAGGGGTCAGGAAGAGCTGAGAGATATGGATGAGGAAGACAGAGCAATGCAGTCTCAGGTGGAAGGAGAGGGGGTGGGGAGGGGGCAGGCCCTGCTCACCCCCTCGAGTAGAGAGTGAGCCGACCACAGCTAGATAGCCCCGCCAGTCTCCCCACCCTCCACAGTGCCACCGAGGGGAAGGGACACCTGCAGGGACACTCAGGAAATTCTCAGGAGGTGGCAGTAGACAGGCCTAGGGCAGGGGGAGACCGCAGGGTCGCTGGCCTCCTCTCCTAGACTGCCCACAGGCTGGCCCAGGTGTGGGGAGCCGCTGCCGGGGAAATGCAGGCCCTGCCGGGGGCTGTCCTGGGCCAGGAGGAGCAGGGCACATGGAGAGGGAGACCCAGGGAGTGGACTCAGGCCAGGGCAGGACTGTGAGGATGAGAACCATGGGGGCAGAGTGCAGACCCAGGTTCCATCCCCACCACCACCAGGGTAGTAAGGCAGGGAGGGCGCTTGCCTTGCACACGGCTGGCCCAGGGCCCTGAGCTCCACCAGGAGTGATTCCCGAGCGCAGAGTCAGGAGTAATTCCTGAGCACTGCCCGGTGTGGCCCAAAAGCCAAATAAATAAATAAATACCAGATCAATGTTTGCTGCATTAAAAATTTATTTTGAAACCAGATCGATGCCCCCCCTCCCCATACTTTGTGGACCATTTCAGTCCTGATTCTAGCTGGGGAACACGAAAGCCTGGAGCAGGTCGCTGCACGAGGAGTTGGGGGCCCTGCACCCCCCACCTGGGCCCCTGAGCACCCACAGGGAGTAAGATTCCCCCCCAAGCACTGGGTGTGGCTCAAAACAGGAGCGATAGCACAGCGGGTAGGGCGTTCGCCTTACAAGCGGCCAACATGGCCGACCCGAGTGTGATTCCTCCACCCCTCTCGGAGAGCCCGGCAAGCTACCGAGAGTATTTGATATGCCAGACACAGTAACAGCAAAGTCTCCAATGGAGACGTTACTGGGCCCGCTCGAGCAAATCGACGATCAACGGGAGGGCCTTTACCTTTACTTTACCTTTACCTTTAGGTACCACAGGGTGGGAAAGGGAGCCATCCCTAAGAATTTCAGGTGTCCTAATACCATGATTTGTTTCATGTTTGTTATTAATTTTGAACTCTGAAAATAAAATTGCATGTCAAATAAAAAAAAAAAGAAGAAATACCAGAGTTGATAGGTCTGTGTAGGAGGCAGGGGCGGAACCAGGGAAGCATCCGAAGTCGCCCAGGCTGCAAGGGGTTAAGGGGGGCAGCAGGGGAGCTGCTCTGAGCAGGGAGATGGGAGAGAAGAGGACTCCCAACATGCCCTGCCCACACCAGCTCTCACCCCAGGGAAGGGGGCAGGGCTTGGGCACCCAGACAGTGCCGGGGGTCTCAGGCTGCCCAGTGCAGAGTGGACAGTGGTCTGCTCCCGGCTTAGGGGACAGAGTCTTGTGGGCCCCAGACTCCCGACTTGTGCCCTGGCTGCCGCCCCCCCACCATGGGTGAGGCACTGTGTCACCAAGAAGGCCAGTGTCAGTGGGGTCCCCCCAGGGATGGAGCTGCCGGCCCAGGATGGGGGCAGCCCCTGCTCCCTATTTAAAGGATGGGGCTTCTGTTGCCCAGACCCCAACACCCTCTCCAGAGACACTTAAGAGCCGAGAAATGCAGCCCCCAAAGCATCCATGCAGGGAAATCCCACTCATCGAAGGTTCTGGAAATGTCTGTAACATCTAGACCGGGGGGACCTATCACTGGTGAGGAAGGTGCCCAAGACCATGGGAGAACAGGACAGGCTGCCTCAGTGTCCCCACTCTGGCTGGGTCACCATGGTACCCCCACCCCATGATACCACCCCCCTACCGCTGCCCCCAGCAGTGACACAAGGTCCCGTCAGAGAACATGGGGCCGAGTGCAGGACCCCTGGCTCTACTTGCCAGCACTGAGCCTGTCGAGGCTGGAAAGGAGAGGCCCAGAACCCAGGTGTGGGCGCCCAGGCCATCTGGCTCCCCTGGACAGGGCCTGTTCCTGGCCTTGCCCACCCACACACACAGCGTCTCCCCAGGCCCCCAGGTAGCTCTGGGAAGGGCCCAGAAAGTGTCCTCCTCAGTGGACAAAGCTCGGGGGGCAGATATGGGGTGCCCCTGTGGGTGGGGTTGTGGCTGCCACTTCACCTGGCAGTGCCCATGGGAGCACTGTGGAACATGCATGGGAGCACCCATCAGGGTGTCACGGCCAGGCCTCTCTGTGCCCCTGGCCTCCCTGGGCCCCTCTCTGCGGTCTCAGCCTCCCCGGGCCAGGGGTCGCAGGAGGACCAGCAGCCTCCAGCCACACAAAGGGCCCGCTGGGCAGCCTGGCAGCTTTTTTTTTTTCTTGGCTTTTGGGTCACATTCAGGGGTTCTTCCTGGCTCTGCACTCAGGAATCACTCCTCGCCGCGCTTAGGGGACCCTATGGAGTGCTAGGGGTTGAATCCAGGAGCCTGGCCCTCCCTACCGTACTATCTCCAGCCCTCTAATCTCTGAACACAGTGTCCCTGGCCTTTGGACCTGCGGCAGGGCTGGGGAGGGCAGGGCCACCCTCCTCCCCCGCTCTGGAAAGAGAGCAGCTGAGGGCTGTGGGCCAGGCCCGGCTCCCCTCCACAGGGATCAGGGAGAACATTCCAGACTCTGGCCCCTGCACCACCCCCAGGGGTGCAACCATGGGGGCAGGGAAGCTTCTGCCTGTGCCCCCTCCGGCCAGAGCCAGGCACCTCTAGCCACGCCTTTCCATTGGTGGGAGACGGGTCGTGCAGAGCGGGGGGGTGGGGGGGATGGGAAGGGGGGGGACACACCCTGCAGGCTGACCCTGGCCCGAGTTCTTCTGGCTGAGCCCCAAGCTGTGGCCGACACTGCTGCCTCCCCCTTGCCCTCTCACCTCTGACCTTTGGATTCCCCTCTCCCCTTCAACCTCTGGGGAACCCCAAAGCCTGTCAAGCCTGGTGGGGGTGGGAGGCAGGCGCCAGGGAGGGTCCCGGGGGGCTGCGGCCGAGGTTGCTTCTAGGGGTGCAGAGCCTGTCTGTGTCTGATACTGGGGGTCTGCGCAGAGGGGCCAGCGTCCAGGTATGGGCACTTCCTGCGGCTGGGCTCGGGGTGAGCCAGCAGGTGCACACCCACGGCATTTTTGGGGCAGTCTGAGGGCCTGTGGGCCACAGCACTCTCAGATGGAGCCTCTGCCAGGTGCCAGGCATTGTCAGGGTCCCCCATAACCCTGGTCTAGCCTGGACCTTCTCCTAGGATCGTCTAGGCTCCGGCAGGACGCCCTCAGCAGGGCAGGGCCTGGGCTCAGCTCCCCGGAGGACGAGAACATGAGGTCCCAGCAGCTGCCCCTGTGGTCATACTCTGCGTCCTCTGGCAGCGGACGGATTGGGTCCCTGGGCTCAGACCTAATGTGGATGGTCTGTGGCCCCGAGGCCACCCCCATCCCACCCACGTCACCTCTGCAGGCCAGAAGTGCTGACGGCTGGGCCTCCTGGACTCTCCACCCCAGCCCAGCCCAGCCCAGCTGCCGTTCTGTTTCCAAAGCAGGTGGAAGGAACGGGGATGGAATGAAATATTCTAGAACAGACTAAACAGTTTCCAGCAGAGGCCTGGGGGAGCAGGAGTGGGGTTCCGGCCTCCCAGATGGGGGCTCGCGGGGCCCAGCCCAGGCCAGCAGAGCTGAGCTCAGGCCCCGGCTCCTGGCACCCTCAGGAGCTGGGCTGGGCAGGGAGGGACCTGGGCTGTGCCGATCCTCAACTTCCCGGGGGAGCAGAAGTGCCGCAGAGGCTGAAGTGAGGCCCCGTGGGGTCCTCGGGGTGTTAGGGGCACGCCAGGGGGCGTGGGGGTGGGGCAGGAAACAGGCCAGTGTGGCAGCAGGGCCAGACGCTGGGAAGCCACTGGCCATCGGGGCTGGAGCTAGGGCACGCCTGGCATCGATCCCAAGTGTCCGTTAGCGGGGGCCGCCCTCTGGACGGGCTGTGCGGCTCTGGGCAGCCCAGGCTGTGCTCAGGCCACGCTCCGGGAGGCCATGGTGCCAGGTGACCGCCTCTGTGCCGGGAAAGTAGCTTCGGGGAGAGAAATTCCCAGGTAGGATGTGGCTGCACCCCGAAAAGAAACACACCCGGATGAGGCTTCCTGGGGGTCTCTGCACAGGCTCAAGGAAGAAGCCCACCCTCAGGGCACCCCAGGTGAGCGTCCAGCCCCAGACAGGGAGGGCGGGGGTGGGGGAGCTTCCACTTTTCTGCCTTAACACCCAGAACCCCCACCACGTCACGGCAGAACTCAGGCCTATGAGCAAAGGACACACACCAGAGAGGCTCAGTGGAGTTGGGCCATTGGGCAGGGCACACAGGAGGCCACCCAGCCCCGGGCCAGGTGAGACCGCAAGGACACGCCCAGTGCCCACTGCCCGGGGCGCCACGTCCCGCCCGCTCGGCAGGGCCTGAGAGGAGGCAGTGGCGAGTCCACTCAGGGTCAGGGTGCTGCTGACCCCTCACTACATCGTAGCCGGTCTGAGCAGCAGAACCCCAAAAGGGCTCCCTGCAGTGACATCGGCTTGTGACAGCAGAAACCGCACGCGTGACGACTGCATGTGTGACGACTGCACGCGTGACGGCAGCAGGACCCATGCAGAGGCCTGATGGGAGGCCACAGGCTGGGCGGGCGGCTGCCCGGGGTGGACGACAAGCTCCCTCGGGCCTGCAGGTGAGTGGGGAACACCGAGGGCCATGACACGGACTCGAGACAAAGAACACACGTGCGTCAGGCGTGCTTCTCACGGCATCAAGTAATCCAGTTTAATGCGTCTGCGGTGCTCACGCACGGCTCACTTCTCTCCACAAACGCTCGCTACAAAAGGTGAAGAAGCCCGGAAGTCCCAGAGAGCCCCGGGAGCCCCTTGGCACAGAGCTGCGACTTCTACACCCATTCAGTTACTCAGGAAGTATGTGCAGTGGGTGGACGTGGGGGCTGCCCCCTCCTAAACCCCCTGCCGCCCACAATCCCGCCTGCGAGCTCCTGAGTGCGGGAGGGGTCCCCACCCACCCCCCCTCCTGCCCCGGGCCGGGGCACCCTGTGGTCCGTGGACATGCCCACTGGCTCAGGTGCACAGGGACCCTGAGTGTCCTTGCGCCCCGCCACACCCACGTGCAGAGGGGCCGGCCCGGGCCTGGGGTCACAAGGGTCGGGGGGGGGGGCAGGGAGGCCCTGGGTAAGTTGGGACACCGTGTCGCATGCCAGGGACGCATGCAGCTGTGGAGGTGTCGGCTTGGGCCAGGCTTCACCGGCCACGGGCAGAGGGCCCGGGGGGGACTCCGCGAACAGTGACATGCGGGGTGGACGGGCAGATGGGCAGACGGCCGGCTGGCCAGGCCACACCGCAGCTCCAGGGAAAGGGCCCGGCCTGGGACTCTGCCCGCTGGGCACGGGGGTCCCTGAGGGCTCCTCCCCACCAGCCCCGCCGTCCCAGGCCTGCTCCTTTCCCGCCACCCGGGGCAGCCTGAAGATGCAGGGACCCCGCGAGCGGCCCCAGGCACTGGGACCCCAGGAGCACCCAGAAGGGGACTCGGGAGGGCGGCCTCACCTGGCGAGGCTCGGGCTGGGCGCCAGGGGCCTCCCCGCCTGGAAGGCGGCGGCACAGCAGGAGGGCCGGGTGCGGCCGAGGGTCCCCGCCACCCTCCGCGTGCCAAGGCGGCCGGGCGCGGGGCGGCCCCAGAAAGAACCCACACGCTCGTGGTGCAGTTTTTATTGCTGGCAGAGGGCTCGGCGACCAGGGGCTGGCGGGGCAGGGACGCGGCACCCCCTTTGCAGGAACCTGGGGTCTTCCAGCGCCGTCACCGGCTCCAGCGGGGCGGGGTGGGTGGTGCGGTGGGGGCCCCGCGCAGCACGGGGAGCAGACTGGGGGGGCTGCCGGCCCAGCCCACACGGGGCCCGGGGGGAGCGAGGGTTCCGGCTGGGCTGAGACACGTCCCCATGCTCCTGCCTCTCTGGACCATCTCACCTTCCTCCATCCACGCCTCTCCACACCCAGGGTGGAGCCCCTGCCTCACACTGCCCGGCCTGTGGCCTTCCGGGACCCTCACACGGGTACCCCTCCCCTGCTAACGTGGGCTGTGCCCGGGGAAGCAGCTGGACTTCCGAGGAAAGAGTGACAGGGCTGGGTGCTGGGCAGAGGGGGAGACAGTCTCCCGCAGGCCGGGCGGTGGCACCCTGCTGGGCAGCAGGGTGGGGGCCAGGGCAAGGCGGGTTCGGGAGAGGGGTGCGGGGCGCACTCCTTACAGGCAGAGGCCAGGTACTTACGGGGCTCGGGACAAAGTGGAGGGGCACCAGCAGCCAGCCCGGAGCCGAGGCCCCCCAGGACAGACCCTCAGCGTGTGCTTTCACAGCGAGAACCGTCTCCCGGCGCCCCACGCTGAATCGGGTGCAGAGCCGAGTACAGCGGGAAGCAGCGCCCGGGCCCAGCCACGCAAGCCCCCCCGGACACGGAGCGGCAGGAAAAGGTGGTCTCTGGGGGGCCGGGCTGCGAGGGCAGAGCCTCGAGCTCCTGCGTCCCCGCAGATGGGATCTTCCTCCGCAGGCCTCGGACTCCGGCCCTGGACAAGGTCTATTGGTCACTGGTCAGCAGTGGTGAGGAAACAGCCTCGGCGGCCCTGTCCACAGTGGCGTGGCTGTGTTTAGGAGTGACAGGCGCTGGGGCCGGCCCGAGGCCGGCTACTCCTTCTTCTTCAGCTCCTGGTCACCATAGCTGGACCCTTTCTCTATCTCGGTCACTCCGATTAGTCGGCGGACTCCAAAGGACGCTGGTGGCGGGAAGACGGGGCCGGGATGGGTCAGGCTGCCGGGGACCCAAGCCTGGCCCCACCCTGCTGGCCCAACTCGCTCGGGCCCCTCCCTGCAGCCCTGACCCCGCCCCCAGCCCGCCCCACTCACCTGCCCCCACGAAGCCCAGGAAGGTGAGGATGAGGAGGGGGGAGCCGCTGGCGAAGACGCCCAGGACAAAGCTGAAGAGCGGGGACAGCAGGACAGTGGCCCAGAAGAGGAAGTTGAGGAGGGTCCATGGCCGCCGCGGGGGCCGGAAGGCCTTTCCGGGAAACACGCCCTTCTGGTTGTACGTCTCCTGCAAGGCGTCCTGGGGGGCGGGACGGGGCGTCAGTGCTGGGTCCTGGGACCCCCTCACCAGGGCCACCACCGGCCCTGACACCCCTGCTGGCTGCGGGCCCTCAGGTCTCCTGGCTTGGGGGGCCGTGAGGGAGGAGAACCAAGCAGGTGGGGACACGGGGAAGGGACTGTCACACAGAGCGAGGGGGCAGTGCAGGGGCAGAACCGAGTTGAACGCTCTGGGCTACAGGTCCCTTCCAGGCCGGGGATAGATCGGAGGCTGGTCACTCCCGCACGCGGCTGCCTGAGGTGACTGGGGTCCCAGCACCATGTCTCCGGCCTTGGTGGGACCGAGCCCTCTCACCAAGAATCACTAGTGGGGTCCCCAGACCTCCTGAGTACTAGACCCCCCAAAACAAAGTATTTCAAGCAGATTTCTTTGTGGCTTATTACCCATAAACGTCTAAACTGAACCTTTTATTTCTAACTGTTTTGGTTTCTAGGCCATACCCGCCAGTGCTCAGGCTGACTCCTGAGGGTTCAGGGCCCCCCCCAGGAGCCGGGGCCAGACTAGGGGCTGTGTGCCTTGGGAAACGTCTATTCTGTGCTGTCCGGGGACGGTGGGAACCCTGTTATCTGAGCCTCCTGCCGTGCCAGAGATGATCGCAAACTGCCAGGGCTGTGAGCAGACACACTGGAGGTAACAGCCAGGAGACAGCCTGCCCGGCATCCCCTGGGTGCCAAGCAGTGGGGGAACCTGAGTGTTCTCACTACTGCTGGGCAGAAACCATGGTGGCTGGGAAGGCTGGACATCTCTGGCGGGGCCTCAAGATAAATGACCGAAAAAGCCTGAGGCCGCAGCCTCTTGTGGCCCCTGGTCTCAGCACCGACTAGGCAGCGCTGTGTGTGGGGGGGGGGGGGGGGTTGGGGGGAAGGGCAGGGGGAGCCAGCCTCCGGATCAGGCCCACACTGTCCCAGGAGGAGACAGTGGGCCAGGGGGGTTGGGGCATGGATACAGGGAGCCCACGTGGAGGAGGGGAGGGAGCATGGAGGAGGGCTTGGGAGCACAGAGGGGGTCGGGAGCACAGAGGAGGGGTCGGGAGCATGGAGGAGGGATCAGGAGCACGGAGGAGGGGTCGGGAGCACAGAGGAGGGGTTGGGAGCACAGAGCACAGAGGGGGTTAGGAGCACGGAGGAGGGGGTCGGGAGCACGGAGGGGTCGGGAGCACAGAGGAGGGGTCAGGAGCACGGAGGAGGGGTCGGGAGCACGGAGGAGGGGTCAGGAGCACGGAGGAGGGGTTGGGAGCACGGAGGAGGGGGTCAGGAGCACGGAGGAGGGGTCGGGAGCATGGAGGAGGGGTCAGGAGCACGGAGGAGGGGTCAGGAGCACGGAGGAGGGGTCGGGAGCACGGAGGAGGGGTTGGGAGCACAGAGGGGGCCAAGAGCACAGAGGAGGGGGTCGGGAGCACGGAGGAGGGGTCGGGAGCATGCACGCCAGGAGCCGCTGCCTCACCTTCTCCTGGTACAGCTTGTGCAGCCACTGTGCAGCCTCCTTCTCGTCCTCCGGGATCTCCTCCAAGGGGAAACGCCTGTGAAGGCAGGAGAAGAGTCAGCACACAGACCGTGACAGGGCCCCAGGCCAGTCATGGAGCGTGTGGGGTTCCCTGGAGCAGCGGGGCAGGCCCGCCAGGCTTCTGGGCAGCCTCGGTCTCTCGGCCAGAGCGCGTGGCCACACAGAGGGCGCGTGGTTCACAGCGAAGCCCCCGCAAATCCGGCCTCAATCCTTCCTCTCCCTCGAAGGGCGGTGGGGAGGACCGTCCAAGCCGCGGCATCTCCCACAGCTCCCACCCTGCAGACCCCAAATCCGGGGTGCTGGAGCCCATCTCCCCGCCCCATTCCCAGCACCAGCACTGAGCTCACCCAGCACTGGCGCGAACTGTCCCACCGGCCCAGCGGCTTCAGAGAGGCCCCGGGCTGAGAAGGGCTGTGTGTCCTCGGGGTCACGGGAAGCACGTGGCATGGGGCCGGGGGCCCACCCCATCCCTGTGTGCCTCAGCTCAGCTCCCCCCAAGGCCCCACGCCTGGAGCAGCTGCCTCTCCCACGCGGGCTCACCTCACACACATGTCGGCCTCGTACTTCTTGCCGTAGAGGATCCCCAGCAGGGACGGGTTCTTCTTCCCCCGGAAGTTGAGTGTGACGTCGTAGACAGCTGACACTGCAAGGGGACGGGAAGGCTGTTGAGACACCCCAACACCCGCCCTGCCCGCCCGCCTGAGACCCTCCCCCAGCCTGCCCGACGGCTCACCCGTGCCCCGCAGGCACTGCACGGCTGTGGTGAACCCCTTGGTGCGCGGCAGCAGGTGGTACTTGAGGGCAGGCAGCCCCTTGGCGGCGGCCACCTCCATGCTGACACGGTGCTTCTTCTCCGTGAAGCGGGTGCCCTCGCAGTACAGCAGGAACTGGGGGGATGCAGGGCCACTGCACAGGCGCCGGGTGGGACCCCCGCCCCACAAAGACCTGGCCCTCCCGAACCCAGGCGCAGGCAAGGGGATGCCCCAAGGCTGAGACCCACCTCTCAGGTGGCTGGGGTCTGCACCCGCAGACTGGGATGCTGATGCTCAGACACCCGCAGATGCCCGGGGATGGGGGACACTACCCACGGGTACTCGGGTACAATGGAGACACACTCATCCACAAGTACCCGGGAATAATGGGAGACACTCACCCACAGGTGCTCGGGGATAGTGGGGGACACTCACCCACAGTTACCCAGGGATAAGGGGGGACACACTCACAGGTACTCGGGGATAATGAGGACACACTCACCCACAGGTACTCGGGGATAGTGGGGGACACTCACCCACAGGTACCTGGGGATGGGGGACACACACTCACCCAAAGGTGCTCGGGGATAGTGGGGGACACTCACCCACATGTACTCAGGGTAGTCTGACAGGCGTTGCAGTCCCTGAATCACTGTATCCCGGTCTTCCTCCCACTTCCGTTTACAGAAAACAATCTCCAGGAAGTACCAGGTCCATCCGATGAGCGGAACACACAGCAGTTCCCTCTTGGCCAGGACCTTGGAGCTCTGAGGGGAGCAAGGCGTCAGGGCAGGGCTGGGGCCTGGGTGGGTGAGGTTCTGGGTTTTTTTTCGGGAGCTCTGCACTCGGATCTGACGAAGGGGCTCCAATTCCAGCCTGGTGAGGGCCTGGCACCTTGCAGACCCCTTGCAGGTCCTCGGACTACACCTGGTGGTTCACCTGAGCCTGAGTCAAAGCAGCTGCTGGGTGGCCCTGTGCATGCCACGCCCCCGACCTCACACCTAGAGACCCACACACCACCCTGCAGGCTGACCACACGTTCATCTCCACCTCCTCACCCCTGCACGTTCACTCACACACACACTCACCCTTGCCTCCTCACCCCTGCACATCCACTCACACACACAGACATTCATCCACATGCTCACCCCCGCTTCCTCACCCCTGCACATTCACTCACACTCACTCACACACTTACCCCCACCTCCTCACCCCTGCACGTTCACTTACACACACTCATCCACACACTCATCCCCGCCTCCTCACCCCTGAATGTTTACTCACTCACACTCAACACATTTTAACCCCACCTCCTCACCCCTGCACTTGACCCCACACACTCAGCCCCCAGTCAACTGCACACTCACCCCCACCTCCTCACCCCTGCATGTTCACCTACCCACACACACCCACACACTCACCTGCCTGCTCACCCCTGCGTGTTCACTCACACATTCATACACACTTACACCCTGACTCCTCACCCCCGCATGTTCACTTATACACTCACCCACACATTTACCACTGCCTCCTCACCCCTACATGTTCACCCACACACACTCACACCTCCATTCAACTGCACACTCACCCGCACCTCTTCACCTCTGCATGGTCACCCCCCCCCACAACACCCACATACTCACCTTACTTCCTCACCCCTGCACACTCACAGGAGCATGTCCTGACCCCAGTAAACTCACCTCACCCTCTCACCCCTGCACATGCACCCCCACACACTCATCCCCACTCACCCCCACATGCTCACCCTTGCCTCCTCCCACTGCACGCTCATAGCAGCACACTCAGACCCCCCACACCTCACCCCTACCGCCTTAGCCCCATACGCACAGCCCCACACACTCACCCCCGGACGCTCACCCCCAGCACGCCGAAGCGTTCGCACATGGTCCAGCCACACAGGAAGTCGATCTCGAAGTTGTGGTTGAGGATGATGACCACGTGCTCCTTCCCCAGGCGGCTGAGTGTGGCGGGGTCGGTGAAGAGCGTGCACTCCGTGCCCGACCACCACTCCAGCAGCATCACCAGCTCTGTGGACACAGACTGTCAGGCTGCGGGCGCTGGGCTGGCCCTGCGCCTAGGGGGCCGAGAGTGACCCGCATCTCCTTGTGTGTGTCCCGTGTGGCCTCCGGGCAGTGAGGGGGCGCGGCCTTGGGGGACACTGCGTGTTGGGGCCCAGGTGGGGGTGTGGGTGGGGACTGCCTGGGCCCGAGGGTCTCCACCAGGCCCTGAGACTGGCCAAGTGGCCAACTCTGAGGGGCCACTGCTCTGATCTGTCACATGGCAGGCCGCAGCCGCCAGGCAGGGCATGCAAGGCGCTGACAGACGGCCCAAGCCCCGCCCGGCGCCCGCACTCACGGCTCCAGAGCGAGTAGGCCAGGCGGCAGTTGACGCGGCGGTACAGCTGCTTGTTGAGCGGCCAGAGCAGCAGGGAGCAGAGCTGCAGCGCGTTGATGAGCAGCCCGCTGACCACGAAGACGAAGCCGATGAGCAGGTGCAGCACGAACTGGGTCTTCAGGTAGGCGAGCAAGCCCATGGTCGCCGCTCAGGAGCGCACGCAGGGGCCCTCACTGAGCACGGCGCTCCTGCAGGACGACACAGCGGCTCAGGCATGGCCGTGGCCCTGGGGTGGGCGGCGCCTCCCCGTGGCCAACCCCCGTCCTGCTTCTCCCCTGCGCAAGAGTGACTGGCCTCTCGCTGGCCACAGCCCCTGCTGGGGGGGGGGGGGGGGAGCTGGTGCCCCTTCGCTCAGCACCCACAGACCTGCCCTGGGCAGTGGGGAGGCCGCGACACCCCAGGGACAGGCCAGCGGGGCTGCAGGGTCCAGAAGCATCACTCAGACCCCTGCCCGAGGATGGACAGGTGTGCAGGGGGCAGATAGACACTTGGCTTCCACAGGGCTGCCCCAGGACTCGGCACAGGCCTCCCATTGAGGTCATGGGGAGGGGTCAGGGGGTGTCTGCCGGACACCCATGCGGCCAGCACCGGGCAGCAGGACGCGTCTTCATGCAGGCCCGGCCTGGGCAGCCCTTTCCGGGGCCACCTCTGGCCCCCGGCTCCCACAGCCTGTGCTAGCCGCTGGCTGACCCTGCCCCAGCTCAGCTTCTTCGTCGTCCACTGCACAGCCCACGGGCCTGTACATTGGCACGGGTGACAAGAAAGGCGCAAGATCTGCCCGACGTGGGGCAGCCTCTACCCCTAACCACCTTCACGCCATCACTTCGGATATTTTACAACAGAATTCTTCACACGTGACCTTCACAGTCCTTAAGCGAAGGCTCGGAGCTCCAGAATGCCTTCTGGAAGCACGCCTGCCCCTGGACCCTGGTCCGCAGCAGGGGATCTTCCCTCATGATTTGCCCGGCCCTGCCGCCCTCGGCCCTCCCCCTGGCATCACAGAGGCAGGGAGCACCCGCTGGCTGTTTCCTCACCGTCTTCGGGGTCCACTGTGGCCAAAGCCAGCCCCGGGGCCAAAGCCAAACCCCAGTCGTCCGGGTGAAAGGTGAGTGATAGACATGAACCCCGTCAGTTCTGACCCAGCCAAACCCTCCCTCCCACCTGCCTCCAGGTCCTGCTTCTCTGGGTCCTCGCAGTGGGTGACCCAGAACCTACCCCTCCCTGTGCCGGGGGCCAGGCCACCCCACCCTGAAAGTGACCCCAGGGATGCTTCGGAAGGGGCAGGGTCCTATCAGCCTGGAACAACGACCCCGTGTCTGCACTCAGCCCTGCGGAGCCTGCCCTTTCAACCCCCACACACTCACTTCCTGCGGTCGGCACCCCTCTCAGCCTCCCCCTGGGCCCACCACCTCCAGGTGGGGCCTGCCTCCCCCAGACCTGCCCCCAGAGCCGCAGCAGCTCCATCAGCCCCCGGGAGCCCCAGGACAGTGTCTTCTGTCCACCCACTGGCAGAGCCCAGGGTCAGGGGTCACACACAGCCCCCTCCCCCCCCGTGAGTTTCTGCATGTCCACATCAGCCCAGCCCAGTGCCGTGGCCGCAGGCACAGGTAATGTCAGAGCCCGTGGGGCAGTGAGCCACCCTGATGCAGAGGTGAAGGGGGTAAGCTGGGGCAGCCCAGACATGTGACCCCACCCTGGTCAGCCCTGGTCATTCCCCGGAACGACCAACACCTCCCTTCACTGCCCCCCACACACACACAGGCGACTTCTCTCCTAGGAAACAGGAACCCCTACTGACAGGCAGCAGCCTCAGGCCCCATGGCATCCCCACCACAGACAGACACGGTGTAGCTACCCCTGCACGTTGCAAGGGAAGTGAGGGCAGCTCCCAGGACAGTGCTTGGGGCTGTCCCATGAAGGGACATGCGGAAATGCCACAGGAAACACCACTCCCGGGCCTCTTAGAAGCTGGTCCAGGGAAAGACACACAGAAATGCCACTTGGGCCACTGAGTGACTTCCACAGATGGGACGGAAGGACCTGGGCAGGAGGGGCAGCTGCCTCCTGAGACCCCCATTCCTGAGCCTGGCTCCCTAAGGGATGCCATGGTCCCCCTCGAGCAGGAAGGGGCAACTCTGAAGCAGAGTGCAGAGAGGGACAATGGGGCACGAGGGGCCCAGGAGCAGAGGAGATCATGAGGACAAGTGGATACATGGCAGCAGCCCCGTGCTCAATGGCAGCACTGGCCAGCCCGGGGACCCGGGTATGGGGGGTGGGACACAGCGCAGGAGGTCAGAAGGGGACTTGCACGCCCGAGCAGCCTAAGCACCACAATCACCCGTGATGCCATATGCCCTCCTGCACAGGCAGTGACCGGTGCCCAGCCAGAGGACCTGATCCCAGAACCAGCCTGACCCGCTGCTAACCCCAGGAACTGCATATGAACCTGCCTTCCCCGTTTCCCTGGAAAGTGAAGTGGAAGGAAGTTCCCAGGCCTAAGGACCCAGCAGCCCTGGGACACAGGGGGCCAGCTGGGAGGGGGCCCAGACACAGAGGACGGGGCTACCCAGCAGCACCACGCCAGACTGGCACACCCACCAGGGCCAGGGTCTCTAGAACCCAGGTACTGGACCCAGGAGCTCGGCTCAGTCTCAGAAAGAAGGTCGCCCACGCCAGATCCGGGTCCGCCCATCACGCAGTGCCCCACCCACCAGGCCCCACCCAGGTCTAACCAGACCCCGCCCACTAGGCAGAGCCCTGCCCAGGGCAGTCAGGCCCCGCCCACCACACAGAGCCCCGCCCAAGGCAAAGCCAGGCCCCGCCCACCACACAGAGCCCCGCCCAGGGCATAGTCAGGCCCCGCCCACCACGCAGAGCCCCACCCAGGGCAGAGTCAGGCCCCACCCACCACACAGAGCTCCGCCCAGCACGCCTCACCTCAGCCGCTTCCCGGGTCCATTCCCACTGGAAAGGCCCCGCAGGAAGTGGGGGCCCCAGGTGGAGCCTCCAAGTGAGAAGACCCTGGCAGGCTCCCCACCCGGGCTCTCCCAGCCCCAGGCTTGCCAGGCTTTGCCAGCTGGGCAGTGGGGCTGGAGGCTCGTGAGAACTCCTGGGTCCAACGACTGTACAATACACATGGGACACACATGTGAGGACCACAGAACCTGAGTCAGGAGCCCGCGCCTGAGCAGACACACACGAACTCAGATGGGAGTGGCCGCAGCACACACACACATGCATCTGCACATATGCACACCCATGCCACACATGTGTGAACACGCGTATTTTCACACGTGTGGACACATGTGCACTTGCACATGCATGTGCACACGTGTGAACACACACCCACTTGGTCAGCTACATGCACACACAACATACATGCATACAACACACCTACACAGCGTGTATGCACACACTCAGGCCCGGGTTTCAACACACATAACCTTGTATGCACAAACTCGCATGAACGTGCACCCCTACCCAACTCCCACATGCATGAGCACATGCATGTACATGTGTGTGCACACCCATATTCTGCCCCAGGTTTGGAGGTTCAGGGGAGCAGCTGCTCCCTTTCCTTCTGTGCGTGTGTGTGTGGGGGGCCATACCTGGCTGTACTACAGAGCTCAGGGTACCATATGGGATGCCGGGGCTTGAACTTAAGTCAACCGCATGCAAGGTAAGCGCCTCCCCGCTGCACCATGCCCCGCTCTTCCCTTTCCCTTGGGGGTCAGCCCCTTCCCTGCCTCCCATCCACGTCTCCCCGGAAGTGGGGCAGGTCTGTGTCCAGGCAAACACCAGCCCTACAGTATGGGGACCCAGGTGCCAGGGGTGGCAGGTCACAGCATCAGAAGTGCCTGCACCGTCCCCACTGTCCCCAGGCCCCCTCAGGAGCCCCTGCATGCCAGACCCCTCCCCACCCACCTTCCTCCCAGCAAATGCGCTTCATTCTCCAGCTCTCCCCTGCTCGGCACCGCCCATACCGGGCCCGGTGCTGGGGAGTGGTGAGCAGCAGCCTGCAGGCTCCGGAGGGCTCCTCACACACTCATACACTCGCGTGTACACGCTCTCGGGGACAGACCTCTTCCTGCAACCATCCAGGCCCTCACCGAGGGAGGGCAAATGCCACCACTTCCTTCCTTGGATGACCAGAAAAACCATTGCACGGGGCCGGCTGCCAAGACACATGGGCCTGGGGGCCGGCGGCGGGGACAGCGGACGCCACTCGGGGTCTGGACCTCACCTCCCGGTCTCCACGCACCGCTCCTGGGGGGTCCTGGCCACCCGGGCTGAGCAGGAGCCTGCAGCCACAGCCTGGCTGTGACCGGGGACTTGGCCAGCAGGACGCAGGGACACGGGGACGGCCAGGCCACACACCACCTCCCAGCACAAAAATAGCCATTGGCCGAGCGCAACAGGCGAGAGACCAGGAGCCCAGCGAGCGCCCGCCCCCTCAGCCGAGCCACAGGGCACGGGGCGCCCGTGCTGCCAAGTGGGTGAGATGTCAAGGCCATTGCACTCTGCCAGCGCCTCCTGGGCGCCCAGGGCCCGGCCAGTCGGGGTGAGGGTCGGGGCGGCTCAGTGCACACGTGCATGCACACACACACATGCACACACACACACACACGCACACACACCTGAGCTCGGCACTCACACACATGCACACACACACATACACACACACACACCTTAGCTCAGCACTCACACACATGCCTGAACTCAGCACTCACATACCTGCGCACGCACACAGACACATAAACACACAGACACACACACACACACACACACACACACACACACCTGAGCTCAGAACTCACACACCTGCACACACAGGCAGCCCTGAGCTTAGTGCTCACACATGTGTGCACACACACTCACCCCAGCAAAGGTAAGCACACATGCACAGGTCACTTGGGGTCTGGGCTCCTCTCCGGCACCGGAACTTCAGGAGGGTCTTTGCCTCCAGTTTGCCCCTAGCTGAGAAGCAGAGGGACTGGTCAGGGCACGGCTCTGGGCACAGCTGACCCCACACTCCCGCGTGGGGCCTGGGCCAGCGGTGGCACCACACCCACAGGCCATGTTGTGGCTGATGCTCTCAGCACTGAGGTGCAGTGACCTTGTTCCCCGATTTCCCCAGAGACCACCCGACCTCCATGTCTCCCTGAACCACTGCCCTGTGGCCCCAAGA